TATCGACTAAAACAATCAGCTGAATGTTCAACACCTTTTCGATAGATAACTTTATAGTTGAAAGTGTCGAGCATAATTTGCCATCGATTTATTCGAGGGTTTTTGAATTTGAGTTTTGGAAGTTGACAAAGTGCGTGGTGATCAGTTTCGATGATAAACTCTGATCCTTCGAGGAAATGTTGATATTTATCGACACCAATGAAAATAGCGAGAAGTTCTTTCTCTGAAATGGCGTAATTGACTTGGTATTTCTGAAGTTTTTGACTGAAGAAACTGATTGGTTGCCAATTCTTTATTGAATCGATAGTTTCATGGAGTTCAGATTCAGAAGGCTCTTCCTGGAGCAACATACCACCAACCGCTTTATCGGAAGCATCAGCAGATAATTTTTTCCTTAAAGACGGATCATGATGAACCAACATAGTTTTAATGATGAGGGATGATTTGAGTTTATCGAGTGCATCTTTATCTTCTTTCATGAGACAGAATTTTCTATCTTTGGATACCATTCGGTATAAGGGTTCAGCTAAACGAGAAAAATCTTTTATGTAACGGCTGAAGAAGTTGTAACAACCTAAAATGCTTTGAAGTTCTTTACGATTTCTTGGATAGGGAAGGCGTTTGAGGGCTTCGACTTTAGCGGGATCAGGTTTTATTCCCTTACCACTAACGATGTGACCTAAGAATTTAATTTCACGATAACCAAATTGACATTTATCTGTCTTGACTTTGAGGTTATGATCACGAAGTCTTTGAAGAACGAGTTGAGTACTTTTTAGCAAGTCACGCCATGAACGACCAAGAACTGGGACGTCGTCGAAATATCCAAGACATTTAATGTAATTGTGACCATCGAGAACTTTATTGACCATTTGTTGAAAATAAAACGGAGCACCGGAAAGACCCATAGGAAGACGAATAAATTGGTATTTACCATCAGGAGTCACGAAGGCGGTTTTACCCCTTTCTTGAGGATGAAGTTCTATTTGATGGTAGCCTTGAAAGAGGTCGAATAGATTAAAATATTCAACACCTCGAACTGCTTCTAAGCAGTCATCAACCCTAGGCATCGGGTATTGAGTTATTCGAGTGATGCGATTTAAAGCGCGATAATCGATAACAAGACGATAAGATTTATCAGGTTTGGCAACGAGTAAAGCAGGGGATCCACCCTCTGCCGTTGAAGGTTCAACAATACCACTTTTGATTAGCTCGTTGATTAAATCTTTGAAAATTTTTCTTCTTTCAAATGAGCAAGGATAAGGTTTTTGATAAGGGACTTTATTGTCTCCAATATCGATAAAGATGGGGCAGTTGCGATAAGAGATGCAACCAAGATCCAGGCGATGTTGAGAGAAAACATCATGATAGTTCAAGAGAATTGATAAAGTTCGTTGACTTGATTTGAACTTAATTCTGGATTCATACATCTGAGGTTTATCTTTAAAATTTAAATTTTCTTTTGCTCGGATTCATGAGAATGAAGAAGACAATATGAAGACTCTTTAGGAGTAAAGTTGTTCTTCAGGAGGAAGAGATTTGATTTTGAAAGGTCTGTCTTTTCTTAGATTATTTTGAATTAGATAAATTAAGCTTGCGTGGCTTTTAGAAGCTTTGAGATAAAGATGAGGCATATCAACTGTTTTAACATTACAAAGATCAATGATATCGACAGAACTTCTATTATCTCTGGATAATCCAACTTTTGTTTCTTCAAAAGTGGCGAATCTAAACTTAACAAGTTCATGCTCAGTTTTTCTCATAAAAGATACTTTGAATTTCTCACCATCCGATTGTAATCCAATCTTCAGATCGTGTCCAGTTTTATACCCAAACAAGAATAGAGGAGAAAATCGTTTCGCTATCACGACACGAATAAGTATCACTTCTTTTGAAGGAGGAAGATTCACAAGAGCATAAGCTTCACCAATGACGTCTAGATTATTATCACAAGCATCACGAACTGAGTAGTCCGTTGGAACGAGGAAAGCTTTAAGGCTTTTAGCGAAGTCGAGGTCGATCAATGAAGATCCAGATCCAGTATCAAAGAGGACGAAACCACTTTTAGTGAATTCACGAGTACTGGTGAATAGTTGACAAAACACAGAAGCACATTCATTTGGAGGAACATCTCCGAATTTAGTAATTAATGAGGAAGAAGCTTCATCGCTTGGAAGACAGAAAGTTAATTCTTGAGTTGTTGGAGTACTTTTATCAGTAGAATTTTCTTCATTCTTAGAAAGTTTAGCATTTCGCTTTGCACAATCTTTGATTTCATGGCCTTTCTCTTTACAATAACGACAGAATTTTGGATAAGGTTTACCGGATTGTTGTTGAGAATTTGACGAGGAAGACGATGAGGAAGATGAAGAGGAAACAACAGGAACTTGAGATGGTTTATGATTACCCTTTGATTGTTGAGATTGAACATTTCTTTGTTCAGGTCCTTTATTGGACTCATAAGGTTTCGACTTTTGATTTAAATACGATTTATCATGAGGTTTCGAATGTCTTAATTGACGGTGATAACGGAGTATCATTACCTTTATGGTACCTTCGAGACTGTCAACACAACCTTGATCTTCGATAGCATCTCTAAGAGGTACTGGAATACGATGATGAAGTTCCGTAAGATATCTTGATTAGTGACCGTACTAAAACGTCGAAGAAGATATGATCGCAATTTAGCGATGAAGATACGAGGAGGATCTTCATAATTGTAACGGAGATCATTTAAACTTTGTTGAGCTTCGGTTACCTTGGTAGAATCTCTTAAGCCTCGATAAAGAGCTGAGATATACTCGTTGTAATCGGTGATACCTTGACATGACTGTTGGTCAATGATGATCAAATCGTGAGCAATGTACTTTTTAAGAAGTCGGAAACGAGTTGAATCGTCGATCGGTTCCCACTGGAGTTGCCTTTCTGCGCTAGTTAACCAGTCGAAGGATCATCTTCGATTCGAAGAATTGGAAGAAGGAAGAGGTACTCGATATTTGTAATCAGGAAGTGTGATGGAAGAAGATGGAGGAAGAGGAAGTGGCTCAAGGTTGATTAGAGGTTGAGGTGACTTTGATTCGTCCTTGAGAACATTTGAAGGTTTAAAGTCATTTCCTCTGAATTGACGAAATACATGTTTAGCGTTTTCTGACACATTGAGAGTATTAATAAGATCATAGGAACCTGATAAAAGGGCTTGTTTTGTTGTACCATAGACACTAAGAAGTGCTTGAAGTTCCTTTTCGGTTAAACCGTCTCGGCGGAAAGAAATTAACCAATCTGGAACACTAGGTTCGATCGCTTCAGTAAGAGATAACCCTTCAAGGGCGTCGAAATCGGTCTCAATGCCATGAAGCAAAAAATGAGTCGATAAAGATTCGAGGAAACTGAAGTGAACAATACAGCGAGGTTTTTTATCATGACCCCATGTTTCGAGATACTTTTGTTTGTCAGAAATTGGAGCGTCTTTAACAGTAGTTTCATCAGAAACAACACTTCTGAGAGCTGAGATCTTCTTAGGAGGCATAGTAACACTTTATGGTGTAAGAAAACACACGATGATGATTACAAAAGAAAACACTTTATGATGATAGGAAAATTAGAAAGAAGGGAAAAGAAGAATAGAAACACGAAGAAGAAGTAAGAGAAGGACTGCCTAGGTCGCCATATGTCGGGTTTTAGAGTGGACAAGGGTCAGAGTACCGAACAAAACTCTCAAAGGTCCGTTCTGTCCCAATCAACTAATTCACTGGTGTTTTATTCACCCACTAATTAAGGTCTATCAATAAAGGTGGACCATTGGCTTTTATAAGCTCTTAAATTTAGCTTTTATTAACTATTGAATAATGGTCAGTATTAATGTTTGATGAGTAACTTGGAAAGGTTAATTGAAGGGTAAGAGTAACTAAGAGGTTACAAGAAGGAGACTTTTATAAGTGACAATTAGGTAAAGAGAAACAGGTAATGAGGACTAATTGGAATGACTTATAAAAGTTGAACAAATTAGGAACTTAAAAGTAATTAAAACAAAGATTCACTAATTGTTGCTTTATGGCAAAAATGTGTTGTCTTTTAAACCAAATGAAAGGTGATTGACAACAACAAAGGCGACAATTAGAGGTAGTGATTAATGAAGAAGCGCGAAAATTGAGGTTCTTAAGGGCAATACCTTACATTACCATGCAATCTCTTAATGGACATTGAACAGCAAAAAGTAAATCACTTGATGATTAGATTGGGATGGAAATCAGTCCATCACCATTTTCATATAACAATTGAATTTGTTCAGAGGTTTTCACATGATATTATCACAATTTCGTACTATTAATATTATTTCATCTTGGAATTGTATTCGTTTATATAAATTTTTTTCTTCGAATTCAAAATGATTCCAATGATGATGATGATGGTTTTCATGGCTTTGATTTGCTGACTTGCATGAAGATTAGTTAATTATACTTGAATATCATGTATCTTGATTATCCATAGTGAAAAAAAGCTGATTCAGGAAATTGAACAATCTATTAAATTGGAAGATTAAATTTCTGATTAGATTTTTTTTTTCTATTCGTTAACTTTTTTCTCTATCCATATATAAGATTAATAAGATTTCACCTTTAGAAAATTGTTTTTTTTTCCTCATGAAAATCTTATGAGTTTCACAGATAAAGTTCATTAAGATGTTGATCACCAACTTATTGTTACATTAACACTTTGATAATAATCGTGATCGACAAAGTGTTCAGATAAATTGAAAAAGGAGAGACAAGAAAAGGAAACTGATAGGGAAAAAAAAGTTCAGACAAAAATTCAGTTCGATAATGAGAGAAAAAAGTAAAAGAGCAGAAGAAAAAAGTTTCGAACAAAAAAAAAAGTTTAATCTCAAACTAATGACGAGACAAGAATTCAATCTAATATCAGAACAGAAAAATTGAAGGTCAAGGTTATCATGTTGACCAATTGATTTTCGTTCAATATTTTTTTTCATCTTTTCTTTTCAGTTGTTTATCTGATTATATCGATATATCAACGATCACTGCCTTCAATGTTAAACGATTAGTGGGACGTTATTGTGGCTCAACTGTGCCTTCGCCGATACTTTCGATGCACCCGAGGGCGGAAATTATTTTCAAATCCAATCATGTGGTCAGTAAAAAAGGATTCTTTGGTTTCTATGAGTTCGTCGACGAAGGTAAAGTCTAATGTCCAGTTATTAGATTGGAATCGACCAAAAATCGAGGACCAGAATATTCATCATTGTTTCCTATTCATTTTCTGTTTAACTTTCCATAGGTTTAATTGGTCCACCGGTGAGGGAGGAAAAATCCTGTGGTGGTGATGAAAAAGGTTTCGGTGGGATAATCAGTTCACCCAACTATCCAAATTCATTTCCTAAATCAATTGATTGTATGTGGTTAATTAGAGTACAACAAAATCAACACATTTACCTTAGGATAATGCAATTACAATTGTTTGGGTCCATAGGTGAGATTTTAAATTGTCCCTCATTTCAATTACAATCAATACAAATAACTTTTTTTCAACCTCAACAATTTAGCTAATTGTAAGGAAGCTCATCTAGCAATTTATGATGGATATGAAAACTATGACTATGAACACCATGAGCCTAAAAAATACTGCGGTGACCTAAAGTATTATAAAAGTTTGGACGATAAAGTTCAACTGAGTGCTAATAACCGTTTACTAATTAGGTGAGTAGTAATTAAAAGTGTATTGAAAACACTGAGATTAAATTGGTTTCACTTTGTGGTTGATTAATTGTTAACAATTTAGATTCAAAAGTGAGATTACTGCTCCTCAATGGGAAGAGCAAGTTGCAACCCAAGAGATAACTGGATTTAAATTAATTTGGACTGCAGTTACATTCAAACCCAAAGGTAATAATCACAATTAAAATTGATTAGATTGAAAATAACAACAATCAAAATTAGATTAGTGAGATAATTAATTTTCCGATAATCATGAAAGTCTCCGGGAAAAGTTAATCAAGATTTTCAGTTATTCATTAGATATGTAACATTATATTTTTAACATGTAATTTTAATCATTAAAATCATGATACATGATGATGATGATGATGATAATAATAATAATAATGATAATCTATTAATGATTTAACAACAATTTAATTTGGTTAAACAATTGGATAGACAATGAGATGAAAAACAAAAACAATCAAATGCAAAGCATGAAATTTTCAGGGTAAAATGAATCATCGTCAACAACAACAACAATTAAATGCCCAGGACAAAAAAAATAATACACAATTAACTGAAGCAATCAAATGCTATTTATGATCATCATCATTACTTTGATCAATTGATTATATTTGAAAGGCAAATCAAATGGTTCTGGTGTATAAAAATAACGGTAAAAACTAACGGTAACCTCCAGGTTACAGGTTATCACCATGAATCTGAATCATGGTCACGTAATTGTGTCCACTTTGAGTTCTGGTCACTTGATGTCCAGTCAAACAGTATTTCCTTGGGTGTGGAGTAGGATTTGAATGATAATATAATCTCAACATAAGGAAACATTAAACAATTTCTCATTCTCACTTAATCTTAATCCTCTTAATCCTCTTTTTTTTATAATCTCTTTGGATTCTTAATCTTTCAACTTATTAATTTTTGTTTCTTTTTCATGTTTCATTTGCATTTATGTTTCGTATCTTAATTGTAATTTATATATAATTCACTTTCTATTCATTAAACGTTGATTGTTGTATGTGACAATTAATTGCAATTGTTGCAAGTTTGCATTTGGATTTAATTGTTTCTCTCTCCCTAATTATTAAGAGTTGGATGTTTAATTGCATGCAATTGATTTTAATCATATTTTTAATGTTTCAGTCCCTGTGAAGCATAAATTTGCTTTAATTATTATCATAATCTACAATTATCATGATGATTAGGATGATTACTGAAGAGATGATGATGATTATCATGATGATTATTATGATGATAGCATGATAACAATGATGAAATTGTGGTTAACATTTTTTTTTGAGTTAATCAATGGTTAGGAATGAAAAAGGAAACGATTAATTTATTGATTGTTTCAAGTTGATTTTTTTTCTCTACGATTTATTAACTATTACAATCAAGAAAACTTAACCTTTTTGTTTTTATTGATTTACTTTATTGTTTGTTAATCAATTAATTAGTTAATTACTTGTTTTACAAGGTTGTGATTGAGTTAATTGTTGCTGTTAAAGGTTAAAGGTTTTAAATTGTTGGTTTTTGTTGGTAAATCACTTTAGTGGTTCGGGTCAAAGGTTTAGTTGGTTTAATTGTTGTTTAATTAGTAACAATGTTTCAATGGCCAATCCAAGTGAAAGATAATTAATTTTTAGAGCTAATTGTTGATGGTTAATTGTTGATTGTGCTGATGATTTACCAGCATTTTGAGCTTTAGCCCTTTCATCTGAACCAAAATTTTGTTTCCTTCCTCGAGCTCGTTTCAAACGGATGATTAACTTTTCTGATTTAATTGTCCGGGTTGATTGTTGATCTTTAGTAACTGTAGTTGATTCTGATTGTTTACTTTGGTTCTCAACTCTGGAATTAGAGTAATTGTTATAATTAATATTTAAATCACTTTGGCTGCTGTTATTCCTGGTGGTAGTTGATTGTTTTCCGGTTAAATTGTTTGAATTATCAATATTTGAATCTTGATTAACTGTTAAATTGCTTCTCGTAATTGTTTTCATGTTTGTATCACTTTGATTACATGATTGATTAACCATTAGAGTTTGATTATGATGAGAAAATGAGGAAAACAATGTTAAAGATGAATCAGTTTGATTACAATTAATCAATTGAAATGAGATTATTGTTACAATCAGAACGATAATAAGTAATTGATAATAATGAATACAATGAAAATTGATTAATCTCATTTTAAATTTTCTTAATGATTAAACAATTAAGAAGCTGAAAGGTTAACACATTAAACACAAACACAAAGTCTAAAAAAAAACAAAATCAAGACTTGAGATCCCAGTTGATGATTAAACAATTAAAAACCACAATTAACACTGATTATGACGATTAATAAATTGTCTGGTGATATTAATTTGATTGGATTTGATTTCACGAGATGATTTAATGTTATGATTAAGATTGGAAAGAGAAACAGTTTTTTGATTGGTGAAGATTTGATTGTTGAAAGAATTGTGATTTAATGTGAAGTTTAATCTGATGATTGTTGTTGATTGTTGATGATTAAAATGAGAAGTGGGTGAAAAATAGGTAATCCCATACACAGGGTGGGAGGTGGAAAATAATGTTTACTGAATAACTTTTTTTTTTTGGTTCCTGTTCCTATTGATAAGTCAACCCAAACAATTAACTTACGGACAATTTATTTCATTTTAATATTCAACATAATTCATATTGTCCACTCATCGTCATCATCATCATCATCATCATCATCTCACCCACCACCACCACCACCTTCAACAATGACAACAACAACAACAATAACAACAAACAATAATGAAAATAATATACAAATATCCAAGTCTATGGTTGAAATGGTCAACTTTTATTTTTGTTTTTGTCATATCACTGACCACTGACCACTGATAATCATCCAATAATAATAATAACAATGGACAAAAATACAAGTAGAAGTGTATTATGTGTGTGTGTAGGTTAAGAAGAGGGTGGGTGATGGGTGGGGTGATAATGATGATACTGTGATTGGACACAACTTATGACCACTATTGCTAAACAATTATCTTTGAACATTGAGTTAGAACTTTTTTTTTATTTCTATTCGCTCGGTTTCACTCAACTGGACACATGAGTTGAAACTATTCTGGATCTTCATTGTCTTCCTTTGGGAGAAATGGTCAGAGAGAGGGAGAGAGAGAGAGAGAGAGAGAGAGATGGAGGGAGAGAATCAAGATGATGACCAGGATGATGATTATGATGAGTGGCAGTGGGTAAAACTGGACAAGGTAAAATCAGGAGTTGAAAATCTGAAGGGGAAACAGTTGAACAAAAATATCGAAAAGTAAAAGGTTGACCTTGCCTTTGATACTTTATTGTGTGTGTCCAGTTAAACATATATCATTTTTTGTAATGTCCACTCTCCACCCCTCACCTCCCACCCTGGGCTCATGATATAATAAATGATAATAATAATATTGATAGCGTGAATAATATCATTTCCTTGGTGACCATTAAGCACCAGGAATGAAGATGATGATGACCAGTATGATGACCAGTAGACTTTCAGAGTCTGTCTTTTTGTTTTTTCTTTGTGTCTTCACATTTTTTTTTATACCTTCTATGATTATTATTATATTACAATAATTAACTGATTACTTCTTGATTCCTTCGTAGCAATTAACATGTTTAAGCAAAAGGTCAATAGGTGATTGATTAGGAAAAAAATTCTCTTGGTTTGTTTTTTTGTTCTGTTTGATTGTATATCAATTAAATGGTAAATTTTGATGACAATCAATTGGTTTATGATTATCATCACATACAATCACATAGATTTTAATTGTTGTTGTATTAATAATGATGATGACGATTTTGATTAAATTGTTGTTGATACAAAAATGATAATCAAAGGATCGATATCATATCGTTATGGTTAACCAACCCTAAATCATTACTATTAACATAATCAATGTGATTATCATTATAATACAAGTTGATGATTATTTTAATTTACTTGAATTCACCTTTGTTTCCGTTAAAAATGATGATGAAAAAGTTGTAACAATTTACTGATTATCTGTTGATGATCATCAAAATTCAGACCAATCAACAGGAAAAATAAATTGTAACTAATAATAGATTGTGATTATTTCAAGGATCACTAATTCATGTCAATATTTAATCATTTCAAAAGGTTAATTGTCCATGAATATTGTTACTTAAATTAACAATCAAAGATCAATATTTAACAATAACAACAAGAAAATTAATCAATTAAAAATCTCTTCAAGATAAATCATTTTGTCATTTCTCTCTTTTTTTTGTCTTTTCTCCTTCTTAATTATCCTGATGGATTACAACAATTAAGCTGATTGTCAACATTTCCTATGTTCCAAATCTGAATTTTGCTTAACACCTCAGAGTGGGTCAACCTGTAAACGTAAGGAATACTTTTGTATTGATAAATCATTGAAATGTGATGGGATTCCCAATTGTAGTGAACAAGATTCCTCCGATGAAGACCAATGTAAGTTCAAACAATTAGTTAATTGTTACACCACAGTTAATTTGTTTTAAATCTCTCTTATAAAAAAAAGGTAACGTTTCCAACCGTTTATACACAATTGTTACAATTCTGGGACTGATTAGTGTTTCCTGTGGATTGATTTGTTTCCTATGTCATTGTCGTCGTCGTCGTCGTCGTCGGTCAAATCTTGATGACCATCGATCGTCAGTGTCTCAAAGTGGCCTTCACGGGTCTGGGTCATCGGCATTCACGGTGAAAACAACATCCGATGGTTCGATTAGTGTTAAACATTTAAATCATAGTCCACAATCATCATCCTATGTACTTGTGGCCAACGGCAGCGGCGGTGGGGAAAATCATGATACACCTTCATCTCCACCTTCTGAGTTATTATTACCTTTGGATACTTTTTATCGTCGATCACAAAATCAGAATCAATACCAACAGGCTATTAATCAATTAAAGAAACATCATCATCATCATCATCATCATCGATCAACGACTATGTTAACACCCGAAGATGAGGTCACTTTTACCTCTCTCTTACTAGCATCGTCTTCGGTTCCTTCAGTGAATCATCATACTGGCTCACTGCGGACTCCTCGACATCATTCAAATAAACACCATAATCAACAACAACAATTAACCAAACCACTATCGGCATCATCACTTGGTAATATAATTGTTTCAACTTCCACCCCACCGGTGGGTAAATGTTCAATTCATGGTCAACGATCAAATTTATTTCAAGTGCCTCCACCACCTCCACTTACCCTTCATGATAATAACTTTTATACCCTCGGGTCATCACAAGTATCATGATGAGTTGATTCAACGACTCAGAGGATTGTACATGAGATTACAATTAATTAATTGCTAATCGTAATTGATAAGGTACAAAGAAACTGAATCTCAATTAGTAACATAAAAGAAAAGTTATCAATCTAATAGTTAATTGTTTTAAAATTGATCCAAATTTCAACCAATTAAATTGTTCAAATTAATTTTAATTGATAATAAAAACTAATCATGAATCTTGATGATGATTTAAAAAACTTTTATTTCAAATTAATCAACAATTTGTGAGTGTTGATCAAATATAATCAATTCCTTTGATTGTCAAAAGTGATCAATATGATAGATATTTACAATTGAATTAGATGAGATAATCATCTGAACTAATCGCTGGCAATTGTTACAATTAGTTAATTAGAATCCAAAATCTTCATGTTTAAAGACAAATCGACTTCCATTTAAGTTAATTGTCCGACATGTTTTCTTAATTTCTTTCCTTAATCCTGAAGATCCAGAACAGAATACAGAAACTCTGATGGAGAAAAAGAAAACAATTAAATTGTAACAATTAGTTGATTGTAATGAGATAATTAAAGGTAATTGAACCAGGTAAGTATTGAAAAAGAAATTGAATTAATAAAACTGATTGAAAGACAATTAGAGAAGAAAAATTTTCCATCAGAATTTTCATCATTCCATTCATAATGAATTCCCCATGAAAATACAACAAAACTATTAATAGATCATCTAATGTTTACATGGAGAGAATCAGTTGATTGTCATGATTCCTCTTGATTTGAGCAATTGTAATCATCTTGATCACCACAATGATGATTTCTAGTTAATTGTCAACGATTTTATTAGTTTTCCATCCTAATCCTAATTCTGATGATATTTAATCATCTTAATCTTTATTGTTTAATATTATTGATGATTCATTTCCTATTAGCTAGGATGATGAAAATTGATTCATTCAGAGAGATGAGATTTGACCCTGAAATTGTTGATGATTAAGTTAGAGTGGGATTGGGATAATGAAGGCGGGAAAGTAATTAGGAAGTGGATTTAAGATGAAATCAAAGGTAACATTGGTAATAAGAAATGTTCATTTAGATGAATCAATTAATGTGTGGGTGGATTAAGAGTGGGAGTGGGAAGTTTATCCCTGACGGTGGAGAGGAAAATATTATCGTTATTATTGGAAATATTTGGAGAAAATTAAATCAATAACTAGAAGGGAATCAAATGAAAAGTATAAGAGATAATGAGAAATTAAGGTTGATTGTTACCAATATAATGGGAGAATGTTAATTATTTAGTTTGATTAATCGAATTACTTACTTTTGATTGTGATAGTTTCGTTGTAATTGTTGAAAGATTGTCTTTAATTTAGGTTTACCCAAGAAAATTGAATTACGAAGTAAATTGTTGATTAACATTTCATCTCGAGCTCCTAATCGATTAACATTAACCAACATTGTTTCCTGAGTCTCTTGGGTTAAATAAATTGTTAACCTTAGGGGTCCTCGTTGATTACGATGATTAAAGTTAATTGTCTTTCATCATAAATTGGGAAAAAAATGAGGAACAAGAAAAAATAATATTACTAACAACAATTAGCGATTAGGATTTACAATGAATCTTTGTATTAATTAATTAATGAAAGAAGACAAAGAGGAGAAAAAAAATTTCGATCAAATCGAAATGCAAAGTAATCACAATTAATTAACTAACGAACTAAAGTTAAACTAATAATCAAATTGAAGACATTAACAATTAAACTGAATAAGAAAACCTTTCCATTGATTTAATGTTCAAGATTAAAGTTGATTAACTTTGATCATTTGAATCTAATTTAAATTTTCATCAGTTTAACACCGAAATCAATGGATTAATTTAATCTAATTATCTGGCAATTCTCAAGATTAATTGTTTGAATAGATTATCATGAGAAATTTGAACAATAAGTTTGAAAAAGAATTGGAAGAAAAAAGTTGTCACTTATTCTTGATTATAAATAATATTCTGAGCTCATGGTGATACTGAACTTTGTTCAGAGTTTGGTGATAAGATTGTGAATCCATTGAAACGGGAAAACTTGATTCACCATGTTGACATTTTCTCTCTCTCTCTCTCTCTCAGTTTACCTTCAAGGCTTAATTGTGATACATGAAAATCTATATATCAAGAGGATTTTATCATCATCCGGATGATAACTGACGAGAAATCATCTTCATCATCATCAAATGTTCATCCTCATCACTTGATATCATATTTTTCCCCCTTCTGTCATCATTTTCACCAATAACTCAAAACCAGTGACACTTTTTTTTTCATCATCATCAACCAGGAAAAAGAAACCTAATCAACTGATTCAAATTGTTAATTAATCTACAAAAATTAAGAGTAAGATTAAATTATCCACTTCGTTAATTATTACATAAATCATAGACGATCTTCATTATTAATCTATTCAAATGTAAATGATTGTTATTTTTGTCTCCTCCCCTTATAATTAACAGACAAGATGATGAATTAATCATTCTTGATTATTAGTAATGATTTAACTCATTCCTACATAATCATTGTGAAGATGAGGATGAAAATTAGTTAATTATTCATTCATATTTTTTTTTACAAATAATCTTTGCAAATGAAAATATAATAATCATAATCAGGTAATAATAATGATAACAACAACCTACAATTAATCTGATTAAATATTATCACAATTCTGGTTATTCTGATTAGAAGTGGAAATTTGAATATACAATCTGGTTAATCATTGATTAAATTTATATTAATCAACGATATTTAATTGTAATAATGTTAGATAAGTTTTAAGATGGTGAAGATTAGTTAATTGTATGAAAAATAATGTTGATTAATTGTCAATGGATTTATATTGTTTCTTGTATTGAGTTTTATTTTGTTGGAAATGAGTTGGATAAAAATGAACGAATTGAATTAAATCAGATTAGATGGTGACAAGCATTTTATACGATTTGATTGTTGTAATTAAATTAAGATTAACATGATTAATTTGATTGCTTACCTGGGCCAAAGTTTCAACAAAACCTGAAAGGTTTGATACATTACGACAAATCCAAATGAAGTAAAGTTTTTCAATCTTAACTGATTTACTTGTTAATATTGTTGGATTAGATCTGTAATTAGATTGAGAGAAATGACAATTAATAAAAGTAGAAATCAATAGATATTGACAGTTGATCATTTCAAGAGCAATTTAAATCATTGTTGTTAAAACAAAAACCAAACAGGTTAATTTGATGAACCATTTTATCCTGAATTGTGGAGGGAAAATGATTGATTACAATTACATTTGGAAAACTATTAGAATCGATTTGTCGATCATTCCAACAATTAGTTAATTGTGAATATTGGGATTAGTTTTTTCGTCAGATTAATTCCTATTATTTTCGATCATTGCTCATCATCATCATCATATCTCTCTCTCTCTTTTTAATTGTCATTACAATTTCTTCCTAATTCTTTAGGTTAAATAACGAAACATCAGCAACACAGGAACACCTATTTATCCTCTTCTAGAATGATAACTTATCGATTGCCTTTTATCATCCTCATCCTCATCTTCCTCATCATTATTATTATCATCACTATCCAATAGTATCACTTATTAGACCTTAATAATTGCTCCAAGGGGAAGACGCTGTATAATAATAAAAGGGTTTTCATCATCTAGTTTTCTTTAGTTTGTTGAATTAAATTGCCAATACGAGAAGATAAGGTGAAAATGAAGATGGATAAAGATGATGATAAGGATGAGGATGAGGATAAAAGTTGCGATAGTTTTTGATGATCTTTGAATATAATACATGTAATATAACATTTTCATCATCTGATGAGAAAAAAGTCTCAAGAGGTTTTTTCAAGAGCTAATTTGTAGTCCAATTGTTGAGGGTGGAAGATATTGAGAGAGAGAGAGAGAGAGAGAGAGAGAGAGAGAGAGAGGGGTGGGAATCGGATAACAAGGTGGGATGATATCAAATAAAATGCTTACATGTAACATATATTATCACTGATTAAACATATTATATGAATGTTATATTATATCATCGACTATTATAAACATTTTCCACTCTCATTTCCTACTTAAACCCTGTCATCCTCAACTTCACCTCCATGTAATATATTCTGGTTATCGTCAGCAGAAAATTCATAAAAAATACAGAATTTTTTTATCTCCTTTGCTCTCTCTCTCTCTCGTTCTTTACTGTTTCATGGAGACATGGGAGGAATGGGGAATTTACTACTGATAACTCGGAGTGCTGGTGATAAAAGGATGGAGATGATATCGTTCTGTGAGTAAAAATGCTCAGAAGTAGAAGGAGGAGATAAGGGATTGCTCATGAAGAGCTGAGAAAATAGAGTTCAAAGAGTCTCATGAACTTCTGGATGTTCTGGTTCTCAGGGTGAAAAAAAAGAAAGATCCAAAAAAAGGAAAGAGAAAAAGTTCTGAGGTTTTACTTCTGAGTGTGGAGATAATTTTTTTCCCTTTTCTCCTTTACGACTTTAAGGTGAAAAATTCTGTTGGATTGTGAAGATTCATGGAGAAAAAAAGTGAAAAACTCGCCAAGAGTTTAAAAAGATTTTCTCACTTGAGTGATTCTCGTTTCTTTTTTTACAGAATTTACAGTTCCAATGGGAATTTTTCTTATCTTTCTCTCAGAATTTCATCTCAACAATGGAAAATTCAGTATTCTCATCATGGATTTATCTTGATAATATCCAAGAAAACTGAACATTCGAGCTTGAATTGGACACAAGCATCTTAACGGTGGACAGAGGGATAAAGATAAAGAGGAAACTGGATCAACTTTCACTTAGCTATTCTGGTCAAGGGGTTTGGATGATGGTGGAAGAGGAAAATAGATTCTTGAAGATGGATGAGGATGAAGATAACTAGTGATTCACCATGAGGGAGATGAAGACAAATCTGATGAAGATAAAAATGTATCATCAAGATGAGAGATTCACTTTAAAATATCATATTGAACTTCATGCTTGAAGTTTTGGACAAAAAAATCTAATCAAAAATCAAAGCTAACTTATTATCTGAACATGATTATTAACTATCAATTTATGGATAATCATAATATATCAGATCAATATTCATTCAATCAATTAACTTGATAAGTTTGTGGGGGGGAATTTTCCTCTTTGATTAACTAATCTGTCATTAAATTTAATCTCCTCCTAATCAACCATAATACTTGATTAAATATGTCCAAGTTATATATAATCAAAGTGATTAGATTGAGTAATTGAATTGAATATATCAGACAAAAAGATTATTATTATCATTAACTGAACGTGAACCTTAATCATTATGTACCAACATAATAATCAATTTACCAATCAACTAATCAATAAACATTAATCATAAACCAAATTAAATATTGTAATACATTTGTATGCTATTGGTCATTCATACACAATAATAATAATGATGATGATAATATTACATAATCTAACTGACCAGTATTCTGATAAGATAAGTTAATTGTTACACTGATTAGGGTTAATTGTTAATTACCTGAGTAGTGATAAAAATGATATGAAAGGTGTCACTCCAATACCTCCGGCAATACAAACACATAGACGGTGTTTGAGTAAATCTTGGAGTGGACTTGAAAATGGACCATCAATGTAAAACTTTAACTGGTCAGTTTGTTTATCTTTCCCATTTGTATTGGTCATCTTGATATGATCGTTTTCTCCGTCAATTTGATTGATTAAGTTTCCCAATTTATCTGTTAATTGTTTTTTTATTGGAATCGATTGTGTGTAAAGTGATTAAATGATGGAAAATAATTTCCTTGGTCAACTTACTTGTCCAGTCTCCGTTTAGTTTTATGTTTAAATTGAAAGTTTCATTGGTTCCGATCACTGGAATCTGAAAGTAATTAAATCATTGTGATTGATTGATATTAATAATGTTAAATTAGTTAATTTGATTACCGATGACAATGAAAATGGATGCCATTCAATTGTCGATACCTTTGGACAATTAAGGTAAATGTATTGACCAGGTAGTGATTGTTTAATTATTGATTTGCTTCCCTTGATTTGTGACAATTCAAGGTTAATATGATCATCAGTTAATGATGAATTAATTACGGTGATTGATGATCGTCTTCTCCATAATCTTAATATTAAATCAATTAAGTAAATTGTCAATGATATTGAGAGCCAAATCCATGTCTGTATAACAATCAAATGAAGCACGTTAATTAATTGTAATCAAGTGGACAATTAGAAAATCATTTCAACTCTCAAAAATTAAACTTACACATGAAGCTAATGGTTTGAAAATTGGTTCATCACATGGGATGATTGATTGTGTTGATGATGATGATTGATTTAATTGTAATGAATTATAATCAACTGAAGATCCATTGATTGTTGTTGTTGTTGAATTATAATCAACCAATTTGTTTAATAATAAGTTAATTGTCACATTTGATTTGATGATTTGATCACAACCAATTGTATGCTGATCTAGATTAGTTTGCTCTTTCAATAATCCTCTAGATAAAAGGATTAACAATTTAAAGATTAATAAATCATCACAATTATCAGATTATTAATCATAATCAACAAAAAAAAATTACTTTTCAACGGATTAATTTGTTAATTGTGATTAATACAATAACCTCAAGGTACACGATTAAAGTTTAAATATAAAAAATAAAAAGGTAAATAATGTTTCTGAAAATTTCATCACAACAATCAGTTAATTTGATTGTGATGATTTCGTCTAAATTAACCAAACAACTAAAAAAGTTATATGAAGAAAGAAAAAAGTTTCATCATCAAGTTAAGATGATTTTTAGAACAATTTTCTCATTTTCGAAAAGAAGAAGAAGAAAAAAGTTCTAAGTGGTAATTCGAGGAAAAATTCGTAAGTATAATAACAAGAAGAAAAGTTAATCATTATCAACACCTAACAACAATAACATCAACATGATGATAGTGAAATTTGATCATCATGTTTACTCAGAGCTACTGAATAAACTTGAAAATGGTTTCCCTGTATTCACCCTCAGGGCGATTTCAATGTAATACCTTTACCGTTTCAACAAAATTTACTCAAATAATTTCCTGATCCATGAAAATAAAAGTTCAACATATAATCTGAGAGACATGGAAAGCTCATGTTCAGATAATATTGATTGATTTGTGAATAAATGATTATCACAATCAGTAATCATTTCGATAGTTTTTTTTTTATTTCAATGAGAATGACAATTAAATCAATTCCTATGTGAAAATATAATTGTATTTACTTAATATTGAACAATTTGAACAGCAATTGTTTAAATTGCTCATTAAACGGGAAAAGGTTTTTCCAATAAGTGTTGGTAACAATTTAGTAGTTCTAACAATTGATCAAATTTACAATTATAATTTGTAGTTTACTTAAATTGTTGATCATCTGGTGAATTACATGATATCAGAATCAGAACTTTTCTAACCCACACCCTATGAACTTTTATCATGGTAACAATGAACTTCATCTTAAGTGTAGGTCTGTATGATTGTGAGATTCAATTAACTTGATTATGTTGATTAACTGTAAGTGTAGGTAGTTAAATATTCAACTTGTAAATCGTAGGATTTAAATTGTCTGATGATAATTAAATTAAATTGTTGGGATAATGAAAATGTTCAATTGTCAGTGTGTTAACATTAGCTAAAGATTATTTATCTTAATTGTTTGATTTGTCATTGAAATTATTTCTCTCTCTATTAATTGTGATCAGTTTTGGACTAAATTAAAAGTATGATCACAATTAAGCATCTAATAGGGTTTTAATTGTTGTAATATCATTTGAAAAACACTGTTACAATTAGTTAATTTTATTACTATTATCAAATTTGGTTAATCTAATATGAAACTTATCTTAAACTACTAATTCATTAATCATTGGTAACAATTAAATTTCAATGATAGCTGATTAATTTTTAATTTTCTAAATGATTTAGATTTGATTGATGTATAATTAAATTAGTGATACAATATCAATGATTAAGGTAAATTGCTTTCAATTAAATTAACTTTTTTGGTAACGATTTAAAATATATTACCAACGAAATTAATAAAAGTAATTGGTTCAATTTAAATAATCAAACTTAATCATAATCAATTGTGGATGAGTGATAATGATTAACGATCTTAATTGTAAATCGTTAAGTTAATCATTTATCATCAACCGGAGGTGGAAGTGGATATGAAAACCCTCAGGCTATTAAATTGTTGTCATCATTGATTAAATTACATCGATAATCAATGTTTCAATTGATTAAAAATCTGTGACAATTAATCATGAAAACGATTAATAAACTTTTAATCAATAATTTGAGGCTCGTGTTGATTGTTGATGATTTTAGTTTAACAATCAATTGATTGTCACTAATTTGTTGAGATGTTAATTTGGTTATGATGGTTAACTTGTCTTTGGTAATTAGTTTAATTGTTTCACTTGATTTAGGTTGTCAGTTAGTTGGTTAAATGAATGTCAAGGTTTTTTTTTTGATTTCAATTAACATTCATCAAATGATAATCAGTTAATTGTTTTGATTTACTTAATGAATTATTCATTTGATTGTAGATTTTATTTTTATAATTAATTGTTATTGTTTCTGCTTTATCTAAATTATTTTAAACACAATCAATTGATTGTAAAAGATTTGATTTAGTTAATTTTCCTTGATTATCAAAATTAATCTCATCATGACTAATTGTCAACAATCAAAAGTTGATTAAGGCTCCAAAGGATTAAAAGTTAATGATTTATGTTTGATTGTTGCTAAACAAACAATCAAATGATTTCCTTGTTGATTAACTAATTCGTATGGTTAGATTGTTTTTAGTAAAATCAGTTAATTGTAAAATAAAAAGGCTACCAATTTATTATGGTTTGTTAATTTACTCACAATTAACAAACAATTGACCTGAACAATCAGCTAATAACGATTAGTAAATTGTAAATCTTGATTGTGGATTAAGTTTTTCCTCAACCAAATCAAGTAAACATTGATTTCAATTCACAATTAGTGAGATTTGTTTGATTATAAAGGAGGATGACAATTAAAAGGGTAAGTGAATTAAGGTAACAGTTGATTGTTGATAACACAATTTACTGATTGTTGTTAACATTTCAATGTTTTTCCTATGATGGAAATTCAAGTTTTCCAATTTTAAGAAAAAAAAAGAGATTGAAAAAAGTGTCAATAAGTTTTTCTCAAGCTGTTACCATGAATTTCATCATGATGATGATCACAACTACATTTTCAGAATTGAAACTTTCAGAGTTTACAATCAGAATAGTGATGAAAAATTGGTTAACTTGATGATGAAGAAGATGAGAAATCACCATCATCATAGTGAATCGATTACAGGGGAAAAAAATTATTAATAAATGGTGAAAATTTGGAAATGATGAACTTTGATTGTTGAGGTTGAATTGGTTGTAAAGTGTCACCACCATGTTGAGGATATTGTCGAGAGGTGGATTCAATATCCCACCGCCAAGCTTTTCCCACCGTTGAAATCTCAATGATATTGATTTGGAATCTCATCTCTCTGTGACAAAAATTTCCTCAATCAACTTGATTAGAGTTGAATAACTTTCTAAATATTTTTCGAGTAAATTTCTTAATTGTTTGAATTGATTGTCACTTGAATTTATATATTTTCAATATCAATCAACCATTTGATCAACTTTCTCACAACTTCAAGATAATATGTGCGTCTAAAAATTGTAACAATTAACTTAATTGTAGGTCAATTTTGTGACGAAACGAGTGAAAAATTTTTGTCGGACTATTAAAGTTCACAAAATGATCAAGATTATTTGATTAATGATAATTAATTTGATTGCATAGGATTGCAATGAAAACAATTAGCTAATAATCAGGTTGATCAATAATTAATTGTAACAATTGAGATGAAAAATTTGATGAGAAAAAAAAAACAAATTGATCCAATTTTGAAGTCTGATTAGTTGATTATTATTAGATAATTAATCTTGATTGAAGATTGATTGATGCAGATGATTTCAATTGTGATGCTAATAATCAATTGATTGTTAACAATACAACTTCCTGATTACTTATAATATTGAAACAATCAGAAAAGTTTGAAATATTTGACAAGGTAAAAGTTTCAAAATTATTCAGTATCATGAACCTTATTCATGCTGTGAACATTGAAACTGGTCCAATATTATTAACTATTGATTAGATTTTGATTAATAATCAACAAGTTGATTATAATTAAAGATGAGGATGAAAAGCATAACCTTAATATAAATATTACAATGTTAGTTAATCAACAATTAAGTAAACCATTAAGGTTAAAATGATTTGATTTTCTTGTTTCCACTTTTCGTCTAAACAATTTAATTCACTTTTTTTTACCTGATTAAATTATTCTGATTAAATTGTCGAGTAAATTGTGGGATAAATATGATGAGAGAAACAATTAATTTAACTCATTTTAAATCTTAAATTATCCTTAATCATGGTAACCAGAATGATAATTTAAACTTGAACCATAAAACTTTTATAATATAAAACAATCAACTCGAACAATTAAATTCTGATCCGTTGATTCAATCGCGTTTTCATTTTCATGTTGTTGGATTAATGATTAATGATTATGATTAATGATTAACATGATGATTAAAATGATTACTTACCCTAAAGGATGACATAAGATTAAGATGACAAAGATAATTGTTAGAAAATGTGTATATTTGAATAGATTGTAATTATCCCGACGGAAAGTGATTGTTGATGTGATGAAGACAATTAAGAGAATCAAGTTCATTGCAATTCCTGTAACACCAGCAACTAAATTGTGATTAAAATTGTGAACACAATTAAGAAACATATCAATTAGATGAACATGAATTAATTTAGTTTGTTTATCAATTTGTTAAATTGTTGTTCTCGGTTTGGAAATATTATTTTTCCCTTAGTAGTTGGGAGTAAACGGGAAAAAATCAACTACAATTAACTAATTGTTGACTTTACGATTTACTTTATTTTATTTTTTACCTTTTCCATTTTCTTTAAAGGCTTTTTTTTCTTGTTAATGATCTTGATTACAATCAGTTAATTATTACAACTTTTTTATTGTATCATCGTTAATTCATTGTTATTGTGATTAAATCATATTGTTTATTATTAAATCTTTAGATTGTTAACTTTTCTCATGGTTAATTGTAAAAGGTCAGGTCAGTTGATTTAATTTGATTGCTACTTGTTTTACCTTTCATTTTAATTTAGATAAACGGAAGTGATTGATTTAATTATCTTTTCCTGATGAGTTGAATTAATTTACTAAATTGTTGCTTAAATTGTTACAACTACAGTTAAAGTTAGTATTAATATTAGATTTCATCTTTAACTGGATTAAATTTAATTCAATTTGAAAGTTTATCTTTGGTGATTTGTTTCAACTTGATTGTGATCAATTTTTAGTCTCAATATATAACAATTAACTTGATTGTTATCTCTTTTTTAATGGTTCAACAATTAGCTGATTGTTAGCTGGTTGAAGGTTAATTGTAGGAAGATTTAATCATAAGTTTCATTGATAAATCGCCAACATGATTGTAACAATTAACTATCAACATGGATTGAAATTATTTGTATTGTAATAATTTAGTTTTCAAATCAATTTCATCAACTGATTAAACAATGGTAACAATTAATTATCTAATTTAATTAGTTAATATTAATCCAGGAAATGTATCATCAAAATTAATTGCTCAAAATTGAATCATTGAAAGTTAATCAAATTAGGATAACTAATTACAGTTTTAAATTGTGTATTCATTGATTCAATTTTTTGGCAGCTCTTGTTAATTAATCATTTGTTGAGAATAACAATTAAATCGGTCAACAATTAAGCTAAAAGTTAAATTTGGTTGAATCCAATTCTTAATGAAATTACCTTAATTGTTGTTAATTGCAATCAAATTAACGGACAATGGTGAAGATGAAGTAAACTTTTAAAGGAGGAAATTGTGTCTACCGGTTTTTAATTAGATTTGATTAACTGATTTGTAATCCAGTTTTCATTTAATTCTGATTGGTGTCACAATTAACTTTTCTAAACCACACCAAGAAATATAATCTAATTATTATACATGATTAAAGGTTAAATCATATTGAAATTTGATTGTTTAAGGTCAAGGTTTTGTCAAAAAATAAATTGTAACAGTTAAATGATGATTTTAGTTTTAATTAGTTGATGACCTTTTGTTTAAATTAACAATTTAAGTTGGATACGATTAAAATCAACTTGCATTTGTGTCTGGAGAGTTTAGTTAATTGTAATTTTAGGTAAATGAGTTAATTGTTGAGGATAAAGATTAAGATTAATATTTACCTGAACCGGAAATTATGGACAATGGATGTTGACCAGGAAAAGAAGCTAAATTAATTGTTGGATATTGATGATTATAATTAACCGAAGCCATTGCTGAGTTAATTATGTGAGCAATTGAATGGATTAAACCAGAAAGACAAATTGTATAAGCGGCAGCGATATGAATTCGTTGTGATTTATCAATTAATGAGACTAATAAACGATTAACTGGATTAATTGTTAATCGTTGAATAACCGATAATCCAATGGTACCAAATTTAGACATTGGATTGGAGATTGTTGAAAATATTGTCGTTGATGATGATGATGATTTAGATGGAGATGAATATTGCTGTTGGTTAATTGTCACAATTGAAGGTGTTGTTAGTGACCTTAGGGAGGTCAATAGTGTCCGACACATCGGAATAAATATAATAAATGATGAAAAATTAAGGACTGAAGCGGTTCCTCTGGAGATGAACAATCCATGGCCTATGGTTTGGTGGGTATAATGATAAGCTGGATTAAAGCGAAATCGCAAATAACTGTAGCCGAAAATTAGCAAATTAGTTGTTATCCAGGCGATCTGAAGATAATCAATTTAATTGTGGAAAAGTGACCATTAGTTGATTGTCAACACGAAAGAAAGTTAAACAAAACTTACCATAAACAAATGCTCTCGAAGATATAATTTAATATATCGAAATCCTTTGGTAAATTTAAACGTTGGATCGGATTGAATAGTAATCGTTTTAGAAAACATAATTGTCATGGTTAATAAACAATTAAAGAAATTAAGAGTTAATTATTGTTAGAAAAGAATTGAAACAAATTGAAACAATTAAAACTTAAATCCTCCAGAGAAACATAATCAACAATTAACCACGGAAATTGGTTGACAATTGGTTAGCCTTTTGGTCATCTCTTGTTTAATTGTAACACTTAATTAGTTGTTAATTTTAAATCCATTGGGTTTTAACATTGATACACAGTGGAAGAGTAAAATAAATTTGATTTGATTGTTATGATTAACTGATTGTAAATGAGATGTTGGTGTTAATACAAAAGTGATTTGAAACTTTTGATGAGATGTTGGTGTAACATTAACAAGAAGAAAAATGTTACAAGAATGAAAGAGAAGATAAAAGGAGAAGAAAAGAAAGAGAAGAAATGATGATAAGGATGATAAATGTACGAAAAGAAAGTAACAGTAAAAAAGTGCGTGTTTTTTTTGCGAAAAAATTTCCGTGCGAAAAAAAAGCGTTGAGAGAGAGAGAGAGAAAAGGAAAAAAATGAGAAGATATTGAAAAGAAAGAGAAAAATTATCATCTTTGTTTCTTTCATCTTCTCATCAACAATTCCTGAATACCGTTAGTTCATCCTACATGATGATGAGAAGATAAATTCTGTAGGAGTAGATGAATTATTCCTAGCCAATGAACTTTATCTTCACCCTTCAAACCCTTTCGTCTATCATCATCCACCCTCTTCCCTTTTATCATCATCATGAACTTGTGGTTAACCATCATGATGAAAATGATGATAATAGTTTTGTGATGATTATCATCATCATCATCATGAAAAGAAAGAGTAAAAAGTGAATGAGAGAGAGAGAAAGAGAGAGGAAAATACAAACCAGTCTCTTCTTATAGTTTTCATTGTAATGGGAATTCAGGTTTTCAAACAAAATTTATCCTTAATCATGTAAATTGTTATTCACCTTAATTGCTTGAGGCTCTTGATTCAGTTGTGATGAATCAACACCACCAACGATTTACCGTTAATCAAACTTACCATCATCTTCCTGTTCATTATCATCATAACGGTAACCCTGAAATTGCAGCAATTTACGTAGGCTAAATTGTCGTCGTGATTTAAATTTAGTTTTCCGGATTAACCCTTAATTAGATTATTTTATTTTAATAAATATCAGGAAGATGAGACAATTTAAAAATATTTAACTTCTTTTCATCAATTTAATTATCATTATATTAATAATTTGATATTTTCTTCAATTGTTACCGTTGGTTGAATAACAAGGTAACAATTAAGACAATCAATCATGATTAATGTTAAATTGTTGTTAAGATAACGGAAAAGTTTTGTCAATTGTGTCTATTTTTTCATCTCTCAATTGTTTACAATTAAAAACCACGAATCAACACCTTGGACAATCAATAAAATAACAATTAATCATCAAACTTAATCTATGTTTACAATTTAAAACCCCATCAAGGTGTTGATTTTATTGTTAATTGTTACTGATTATTTATTTTATCAATACAACTACAAAATCAAATCTCTTCCTGTGATTAACAACTAATTGTAAACATAAGAGTTAATTGATTGTCAAATTAAAGTTGACAATAATTGTTGATTGAGTTAATCATTTTTGCTAATTGTTGGCCTGATGGTAATGATCCATATTCAATTAGATTATCTTGATTAACCTGATTAACTGATTATAATTAACTAGATAATTAGAGGTGAAGAAAGTAAACAATTAGATTTGGATTATTATCAATCTAAATGAGGGAATCAATTAATTAAATTGTGTCAATTGATTGAAAAGGGAAACTTTTTGTTTTTTATATCACAATTAATTGTTAATCAAAATTGGTAATATTTTTGTTAATCAAATTACTTGTTATTTGTTAATTGTTAAATATTATTTGAAGGTGGATCCATGTTAAATTGTAATCCACGTTTTTAACCAATCTACAAATTGATTACAATTAACAATTTAATCAACATATCATCAAATCGTAAGTTAATCATAAATAACATTTCCATTAACAAGTAACAATTAATCAGTTATGGTTTAAATTGCAAATCATGATTAAGTAGTTAGTTCAACAATTAGCTGTTTAATTTGATTGTCTTGTTAAAGTTTCAGTTTATAATTTGATTATCGGAAGTAATTAGTTGATTATTTTGAGGTAACTATTTTTAATTGTTGTCGAGATTAATATTAAAATGATTGGAAAAAAGTTAATTGTGAATATTTTGATAAGCAATTTAGGTTCTGATTCTGATGATTTAGATGTTCAATTGTTGATCGTTAATCAACATGTTAAAATCATTTGATCTTCAATTTAAATCATAACAATCAAATTGAGAAAAAAATTAAATGATAAATAACTTGATCACGATTTAGACAATTAACAACAAATTAGCCTTGACATGATGTTAATTAAGTTGATTGTTACGATGGGTAAATTAAATAATCAATGGTTTTAATCATGAATTAAACCTTCAATCAACTTTAATCATAACAATTTAATTTTCTTGTTAAATCATATATTTTTTTACTCATTTTGTTTCTGATTGTTGATTAACTTTTTAACCATAATCAATGCCGGAAGTATATTAACCAATAACAATTTAAATTGTTATTCAATAAGGTGATTGTTTGGAAAACAATATTAAACAAATTAAGACGATGTAATTTAGTAAATTGTATCACTGGAAAATTAATCATTTATAATGAAAATGATTTGTGATAAACTTTCAGTTTGAATTAAGTTTTTAGTTGAATTTGTTATTATTTTAGTAATTGTGTTAATTGTTATAATTTAAATAAGTTAGAGACAAATTATTTTGATTAGGAAAGGGGTTAGTGGTTAATTAAGTGGTTCCAGTGTTTTAAAGGTGATTGTGAGAATGGTTGATTGTTATCACCGTTAATTGTTGATTTCTGTTGGATTTCAATCTGTGTCATTTTTTTACTCGAATCCTTAATTTGATTGGGAAGATGATGAGTTATCATTGATTTGATTCAGGCCATTTGATGATCTTCAAGGTGCCAACTGTTGATAATTAACTTCCTGATATGATAGCCAAGAGATTTGAACAATTGAATCAACTAATATCAAGTGATTAGTTAACTTTTTTTCTTGTTCCTTTTTGTTTCATTGTTACTTTTTCATGGGTTCATGTTGGTAGGCAAGTTCACTGATTATGATTATTGGTTGATTGGTGAAAAAGGTGATGGCAATTAAAAGTTTTCTTAAGGTGAATAAGGAAGATCAATTAATTGTTGGGTGATTGGGGTAATCTAAATGTGCTAATAAATTAAGCGAAAGTTAAATTAACGGGTAAAGTTAATGGGACAAGGAATTGATTTACAATTAATTTTTCTTACAAAGGGTGTGGTTTTGATAGTAATTGAAAGAGCTAAATTTTTTTAGGAAATTAATTAATAAACTACTTATCATGCTTTAAGATTTATATACAGTGTCCAAAAGGTAATGATCAATGTTGAATATAAATTAACGAGTTAATTGAGTCGGTGGCGGTTAGGTAGTGATTGACAACATTGATTGTGTTTGTAGTACCACAATCAAGCTGATTGGATTATTTTTTATGGTGCCAATGATCATGAGGATCGGCTGGTTTATGGTGTTCATGATGGTGTTTATATTCAGCGTGATGACCGTGTTTACCATGATCTCCTCCATGATGTTCTGAATTTGAGTGAAAGAGGAAAAATTGGGTTAAATTAGTTTTGAATATCAATAATCTAAATAAGTGTGTCAATCAATTTATGAATGAAATCAATATCTACACCAAGTTACTACTCTCAACTAATTCATAACTTGCTCCAAGTATTACAATTTAACAGGGATGGATGAGCCATCTCTTTTCAGAAATTCAAACTAATAAAAGTTAATCAGTAACTTGATAGTTGATGGAAAATTTTAGTGACGATTGAGCTTAAAATCAGCAATTTAGTTGATGAATTTACACATTGCAGAATAAATATCTCTATATTGGCAATTAATTTACCTTTGTCATGATGGTGATTCCAATGATCCTTATGGCGATGATGTCCATGGCTATGTTTTTCGTCTGAATAAATTGAAAGAATAGAAAATCAGTCCAAACAATAATAACTATCAATAATTTATAGAAAGACTTACGGTCACCATCATGTCCATGTTCATCTTTATGATTTTCATGGTGATGTTTGTGATGGTGATGATGATCCTTGTGTCGATGTCGATGGTGGTCATCATGTTCCTTTTCATCACCCCATTTTCTTATCTAAAAAAAAAAAAAGAAAATATTAAAATCAAAATCTTCTCACCAATAAGGAACATCATTTCTTGCCAATGGGCTGAAACATTTTCCACCCAAAACTCAATCAAAATCCAAACGATTCCAACACAGAGAATCTTATTAAACAAAGAACACAATCAAAAACTGTCTTACCTTTTCACCGGCTTTGTCCCAGTGCCATTTCTTTTCATTACCATGTCCTTTGTCTTCATGATGGTGATATTTTTTTCCATGTTCTTGGTGAAATTTACCATGTTTCTTACGATGATATTCCTTGTGATGATCTTTATCATGTTCTTTCATATGTTTAGCATAACCAGACTTATCTTCGTCCTTATCGTCTTCATGGTGTTTCTTGTGCTCTAAATGAGAGAGAACAAAACCAATTAGAACAAAATAAAAATTAGATGAGAAGAATACAAATCAAATTAAAGAGAAATCAACAATCGAATGAAAAAAAGCGGTTAATTGTAGGGATCGTTTTCTAATTATCATTGGAAAAGAATAATTTTTTTCTCTGTTGCCTTGACTCCCGATCATATGTTGACTCTTTCTCGATGTGATTGGAAAGTTAATTGTTCCCTTTTGTTTGTTACAATTAAATTTTCTTTTCTTACCTGCATCCCATTTCTCATCGTGACCTTTCCAATGACCCCAATGGTGACCTGAATCGGCGTCGGTGACATCATGATGTTCCTCATGATGTTTATCTGGATGATGTTCAGTAGCAGAAGGTAACAGATCCCAGAATCGGCTAACAAATGATTTAGATTGTTGCTTTTGATTAACTGTTAATCCAATTGAATTAGATAATAATTGTTGCGGTTGAGAAGCTAATCCATTGGTCACTGTTTTATTAACATTTTCCTGATGATTACTTTTCGTTGAATTTGTTGGAATTGATAAGACACATTGGTTGATGGTCAGGAAAACCGATAACAACGGAATCAATTTTAATCCAGTCATCACAGAAAAACTATTGTTAACCATTCAAAGATGGAAAAGGAATTAATCTGTTCAGATTAACCAACTAAAGGTAAATATCTCAAATTGAAAGTTTCCATCGCTTCTTATATATTCATGATTAACTCACCTTTTTCTGTTCTCTTCTTTTCAGATTCTTTTTTCTCATTCTCTTTACTCTATATAACAATGGCTTCCAGTTCAATTAAAGGTTGGATCTGTTTTTGATAACCTATTACCGGAAGGTTAACAATTAACTTAACCAATGAACCATTTTGGACTCATTTCCATAGAATGGTTGAAAATAATTAAGAAGACACACAATTAATCTGATATAGTGCATGCAGATCCATTATAAAGATCCTTGTTTATTATGTTCGTTAAGTTGATTCTGTTGTTTTTTTTTCATCTCTAAATCCGAGATGAGAAAAAAAAGAACAACAATCAACATGTTTAATTGTTACAATTAGAATGATTTTTTCTCTCACTCATTCTTGAACCTGATAATTGAAACATTCTTGATCTTGGCTTGTTTATCATCGTATTTACATTAAGGATAATGTGCTGATTGTTTAAAACAACAAAACAAGAAATTTTTTAAGAGAAACTGATTAACTCAACAATTAATTTTCATTGGTGACATGAACCTGGAAAGAATTTAAATTGTAATTTAAAGTTCAATCGATGCCAATCTTGTATAATCAGATCAAAAGGATAATCAAAACCATCAGAATCAACAAAATGTGCACACAAGTGATTTCTCATTCATCTAATCAACATCAGTAAATCATCACCAAAATTATCAACAATTTGGAGAAAAATTAATTAGCCTTTTGAAACAAAGTGAATTGTTAATAATTTTAATTTTTCTCTTTCTCTTTAATCAACATAATTACCTCGCCAAAGGTTCATCTTGTTGAGTATCATTTGTTTATCTTTTTTAGTTCAACGTTTCAAGAGTCTTCATCTTCTTTATCTTCCTAAATTATTTTCATCTCTCTCTCTCTTTCTGCCTCTCTCTTCATCTCTTTCTGCTTCTTCTTTCTTTTGCTCTCTTTCTCTATAGTGTTTGTTTCCGTTTCCGATGTCTGATGATTACGGTAGATGATTAAATAATTGTGAAAAGAATCTTGAAAAAAAGCTGACTTCATGTTTATTCAATATCAACATGAAGAAATAAATCTCATAGTAATTGAGTACCCAAAGGAACAGGTAAGAAGAAAAAGGAAGAGAAAAGAAAAGAAAGAGAAGATGAAGAGAAAGAGAGAGAGAGAGAAAGAAAGAAAGAAAGAGATGAGAAAAGAGAAGATGAGAAAAATTAGAAATTGATTTGTTGATGTTTTTCTCTGTCAACCCTTTTGTTTTTTTTTCTTCCGCTTTTTAAACTTCCACTTCCAGGAGGTAACTCAAAGATGTTAATTGTTATTTTCAGCATCTTTTTGTTTTACTTATTCTTCTCTTAATTAATTAATATATATAAATTAGTTAATTAATTTTTTTTTTTTGTAGTTGTTATTATTATCTTTTGTAATTTTTTAGATTTATATATAAAATTAATTCCCAATTTTTTATCATAATTTCTTAAGATAGCAGTGTACTCATACTACCCATTTCACTTTGTTCTTTAACAAAAATTTCAAAGTATTGGTAGATAATTGTAACTGCAAGAAGGATACCGGTACCACTTCCAATAGCACCAAGGAAATCAGCAAGAACAGAAAGTGCACCGATACAGAGACCACCGAAAGCAGCGGCTGTTGGGATGTAACGGTTAAGTTCGTGAATCATTGATTTCTCTCTGTGTCCTCTCATAACCATTTGTTGTTCTTTCAGTTGTTTTGCAACCTTGAGTAAAGAAAAGAAGATAAATGAAAATAAGAGATTAATTGGTGAGATAAATATGGTTGAAACAATATATAGAGCAAATATATATAAGGAACATTGATCCAAATTCTCATAATCATAATTGGTCAATGGTGACAAATGAAAATTAGTCATTAGATGATAGGATACTTTAAGGCTAAACTATCAACTGATTGTTAGATTATTTGGTCAATGGAAATACACTTACATCCTTTGCACTGGATCCTGAAACCTCAATCCATGTTTTAGAGAAAAATGCACAAGATCCCAACATGAATACAATGTATAGAATTGCGTGAATGGGATCGGTCGCTATGTGGGCTAAATCTTCAGGCGGAGAAAGGTAATAACATAGACCACCGACTGGGTATGATCGAGCTGGTCCACCACCACCAACATCAGCCCAAACACCGAGTAGATTCACAAAGAAGTTTCCACTAAATTTAACAGCTAACATCTATTGGTAAGATAAATAAAGAAAAAAAAATTATTGATTTGTAGGTAAACAAATATGAACAATTAGTTGCGTGTTTTGTTTATGAGAGAACGAGATAATTTTACCTGAGAAATAACGTATAAATTGGAAACAAGAGCTGATTGTAGAATGATGGGAATGTTGGAAGTGTAGAACAATTTAATTGGGTACGAGCTGTATTGTCCTCGGTATCGAGCAGATTTAATTGGCATGTCAACTCGGAATCCTTGGAAATAGATGACGATAGCAAAGACCAAAATAGTAGCCAAAAGATTCATCAAATTGGGTAAATTTTGTCGATAAAAGGCTTCTTTAAGAGCTCGAACTTTATCATTACGGGTAGCCAATAGGTGAAATAAGGCAATGATTGCTCCTTCAAATTCAGTTCCTCTGCCGGTATTAACGGTAGCTGGACTAAAAGCTTTCCATACAATAGTTTCACAAATATTGGTAGCAATGAAAAGTGAAATACCAGAACCAAGACCATAACCTTTTTGTAACAATTCATCCAAAAGTAGCACAATAAGACCGGCGACAAATAATTGAATGATAATGAGCATGCAAACACCGGCACCAATATCTGATGGATCTCCGTACATTCCAGTCATTACATAAACGATGGCTTGACCAACAGTGATGACCATACCAAACACTAATAAATAAATAAAAATTTTACAATATTGTAAAAATAAAATGGAAGAAAAACCAACAAAGAATCAACGTCTAGTAATAAATAGACACAAATGTAAATAAAGAAACACTTACATTTCTGTGCACCGTTGAATAAAGCTCGATCTTTCGGTGTATCACCAACCTCGATAATTTTGGCACCAGCCAACAGTTGCATTATAAGACCCGAGGTAACAATAGGAGATATACCAAGCTCCATAAGTGTACCTCTATTTGACGCTAGAATAACTCTCATCCAGTAAAAAGGATCCGCTGAATCGGATGACATAATACCAAACAAGGGTATCTAGATAGAAGGAGAGAAAAGAATAATACATAAATTATGATACAATTAAAAGCCATAACCAGATAGAGAAGAAAAAAAAACATAGAAAAAAATAGAAAGAGAAAGGAAGACAGACATAAGAAAATGACACATAAGCATATTGAATGAGAAAAAGAGCCGAAAACCTTAATCTCAATAAATGGATAAGAAAAGAGAACATTTTTAAAGGGCAACACCGAACATACCTGACAACAAACTAAAAATATGAATAAAGTAATAGCTGTCCATAGTACTTTTTCACGGAACTGAATCTTCCTTTCCGGCTTAGCAACCTCCGGCAGTATCCCACAGAAGGGTTTGATTACCTCTAAAAATTTTACTGTAGAAAAGAATATAAGAAAAAAAAAGAGAATAGAAAACACAAACAGAGTTAATATTTTCAACCCAAAGAGAAACAAAAAAAAATAGACAAAGTTGCTGATAGAAACAAAACAATGTGATGGTTAAAGATTATTTTCTATTAAATTGGTCAATACTTACTTCCCATTTTTGATTTAATTTACAGAGAAACAAAAAACGTTAATTGAAATGATTAAATAAATGATTAAAGTGATGAGGATGAGGAAGAGAGTGAGATGACTGGATAACTTGATGAAGAGTTGGCAACATTTTCCCAAATTACGTGGCAACATGAGAACAAAAAAACGCGCGATGTTCAATTTTCTTCCATTTAAATGGAGAATTTAAATTTCTAAATGGAGAACAATTAATTGGATTAATTAGAATAACAATTGAATTATTTTCGTTTATTAATATTAATAATCTTAATTATGTTCGCTTGATTGTGATGAGAGTTAAATTTTCTTTCATTCTTTTTAGTTTTTGTTGGTTGTTCTTTGTTGGGATTTCGATTTTTTCTCCTTCCAGAGTTGTGATATTTTCTTTGCTAATTGTTATTCTCGTAATTAGTTGATGATCATGATTAGTTTTGATTGTGATTGTGATTTAGATTTTTTTTAAGTTTTTCATATTCAGGCCCCATGGGTTTATCTTCATTACTCTGTCTCTCTTTCTCTGTCTCTTTCTCTCTGCACCCTGGGAGATTTGATTAGATTGTGATTCTAATCTTGTGACCAACATAATCAACTCTTTGCCAAATGTTAATTAACGACAATCAATTGTTAACCTTGAATTGTTGATATGATTTGTGTACACACAATTTACTGAGAGATACAATATGATGACGATGATGAAGATGATGAAGCCACGTAATTATATTTTTAAATAATTTTCATCATAATCACTCACACAATTAATGAACAATAATCGCAGTTGATTAATTGCTAATCACTTTAATATTAGATAATCTGATTCAATTTACTTTATAAGTGACAATTAATTTGTTACATGTGATACACAAATTTAGCATCTTAATTGCAAAAGGAATCACCACCAACAACAATAACAATCAAAAACTAATCAATATGAGTAACAACAATTAAAGAAAATGAAACTTTAAATGTTTAGATTGTTACGAGAAGAAGAAAAAAAAATCAGTTAATTGTTATTAAAATTTACGATTTTTCATTTGATTTCAATGAGAACAATTTATTAATCATTTTTAATCATCTTCTCTTCCTCTTAATCCTCTGGCAATTAAGACTAATTGTATTTATAGTTTTCGATTATTGTTTCATCCTCTTGATTGTTCATCGAAATGATTAAAGAGAATTTTTTTTCTCTCTTTTTTGGATTAACCTTAATCATCGTCAATCATTTATCACCATCATCAGCATCAGTATTTAAATGCGTGACTTTAGTATTATCATTGAGAGAGGAGAGAAATATTGTAGACAGAGGAAAAGAAAGAGAAAGAGAAAGAAATGATGACAAGGGAGCGAAAAGAAAGAGAAAGGAAAATTGTTTTTCTTCATAGTTTGTGATGAGAACATTTCATTTGATTGTGATTCTCGTTCAATTCACTTCATCACCGAGGGATTTTCTCCTTTTTCTTTAATCATCTTTTTAATTCCACTATCAAGGTAAGTTAATTAATTCATTTATTCGTATTGTTAACTACTGTTAATCTATTTAGTTGATTAATCTAATTTTTATTATGCTTTTTTCTATTCCTTTTTCCTTCTATTTCCTCTTTGTGTCCTTGTATTTTTAACTCTTTTTTTCATATTCTATTCTCTTATAAAGAAAAATTCTCTCTTGTTTTGATTCTATTATGAGAAGGTTATGTTTTTTTATGTTTCTAACTTAAGGGTTAACCTCTTTCTCTTCATGTTTAGATAACCTCTGACATTCATTTTCGTCCATTTTGAAACGAATTCTCCTTCTCCTCTTTTTCTCTTTTTCCAAGTTTCATCGCCATTTTTGTTTCCTTCTCGGTGATTTATCCCTTTTCTTTCGGTTGGTTTTTGATTTTAGTTTCTCTGTTTTTCTGTTTCTCTTTTTTGTTTGTTCGATTTATTTTTCTATTCTTTTTTTGGAATTTTTTCTTCTTCTCTTTTAGAGTTTAAGCTAATTTGGTGACGACTATTATGGCTGATAAAAAGTCACCAATTCGTGTCCTAATCACTGGAGCCGCTGGTCAAATAGCTTATTCTTTGATTCCTTTTGTTGCCAAGGGGGATGTTCTCGGACCCGATCAACCGGTAATCCTTCATCTTCTTGACATTCCATTTATGTCTGGTGTTCTAGATGGTGTGGTGATGGAGATTTATGATTGTGCTTTCCCCCTGGTTGAGGGTATTGTTGCAACAACCGATGAGGCTACTGCTTTCAAGGATGTTGATGTTGCTTTTCTGGTTGGAGCTATGCCACGGCGAGAAGGTATGGAAAGAAAAGATCTTCTTTCAGCCAATGTGAAAATTTTTGCTTCTCAAGGTAAAGCCTTAGCTGCTCACTCCAATCCTGATGTGAAAGTTTTGGTTGTTGGTAATCCAGCGAACACCAATGCACTCATCTGTGCTCATTTTGCTAAGCCAAAAATTCCCGCAGCAAATATAACAGCAATGACTCGTTTAGATCAAAATCGAGCTATGGGTCAACTTGGCTTAAAACATTCAGTTAAAGTGAAAAGTATTGAAAATGTTTTCATCTGGGGTAACCATAGTTCAACTCAATTTCCCGATGTTAAAAATGCCACTTCAAATGGTACAAAGTTACCCTTTGCTGGACACGATCAAGATTTTATTACCCTTATACAGAAACGTGGGGCCGCCGTTATTGCAGCTCGTAAATTATCTTCAGCCATGTCCGCTGCTAAAGCGGCTGCTGACCACATGAAAGATTGGTGGTTAGGAACCTCAACTCCTGTCTCCATGGGTGTAATCTCAGATGGTAATTCTTACAATGTTCCACAAGGATTGGTCTATTCTTTCCCATGTACTGTTGATGCCATCACCAAGCAATGGAAAATTGTCGATGGATTTGAAATCGATGAATTCTCTAGAGAAAAATTGAACGCCACAGCTAAAGAATTGGAAGAGGAAAGATCCGAAGCCATGACAGCGACCCAAAGTGGTAACTTGTAGAGGGAAAGAACCACAAAACGAAAAACACTGAATCCAAACATATAACTTACCAATGGTTCTAAACCGAGTTACAAGCATAGTAATATTAATCCATGGGAGGAATTTAATCTAATCCAATTCCATAAAAATAAGAAAGCGAATCAAAAAAAAATAATAATCACGATTTTTAAAACAAACCCTCGTTACTTCAACAACCCCAAACAATTAAGTCTTATTGTTATCAAGAAAATTTGAGCGTAATACTATTCAGATATTATTTTATTTTCCTAATGTATAATCTCATTAATATTTAAATTCTATTAGTTGTAAAACCCACACGTTCAAGAACAATTAAGCGCATTTGCATCGAAAACTTTAAAAAAGGGAGAAAAGAGTCTCGATTCTTTTTGGGCAATAAAACGAAAAACACAAATGCAGCATCGAAAAAAAAAGAATATTTTTGAAAGAAAAGAATAATAAATTATTAGTTTCCTTGCCATTCCAAGAAAATCAAATGTTCTCTCTTTTGATAAGTTGATCGAAATCAGAAAATTCTAAGAACAAAACCAAGGGAATTCCCAATGTATTCGGATATCGATATTTCCATTGTTCAAATTTCTGCAAAACTTTCGTTCCAACGGTGATTGTCCTGGCGAACCAAACGAACTTCGGTTGCTCTTTGACCAAAGTGGACACTCGATGAGACATAACGTTTACCATGTCCATCGGACGGAAGGAATTGGATTTACCTGGGGTCCCGAATTCGGTCTGATTATCAACTTGACGATTTCCTTGTGAATCGGATATTTTATATTCCATGAGCGACGAACTATTTCCGGTAGAACTTTCAACTTTCTCTACTGGCACTGAATTCGAAAGTTGAACAATGTTGAACATGATGAGAGTGATGGAGAAAATTTTCCAATTCATGTTTGTTTTTTTCTTCTTTTGTACTAATCGAAATGTTCAAGTTGAATTTGCTGTGATTGAAATAAATATTCAAAATACTCGATTATCACGTGAGGATATAACTTGATATTGGCGATAAAAACACAGAAAATAAAAATAATTGTCAAGTAAAATTGTAAGAAAATACGTAGTTCGATATTCGTGGCTGAATCGATGGACTCGAAATGACCCATTGTCCGTGTTTGTGTCGATCACTGAGAGAAAATGACAGCAGATATTCAACCGACGCAAATAAAGATTATCTTCCAATTTTTATTCTAAAAGCCAATCAGGCTAATGGATTATTTTCTATCCACCAATAGACGAAAATCTAAAAAAGGATTAATATAAAGTTCTTAATCTGAAATAATCACCTTACTTGAGAATTGAAAATCGAATCATTTTAGAAGAAAAAAGTTGAAATTTATTTTCTCAATTGCTCACAAAAACGGATTTCCAATCAAAGAATAAAAAAGATGTTTAAATAAATTGTTTAAGTAAATTCTATACGAAAGTTAATCACAGTTAGAAATCAATGGAAATCAAGATAAATGGATTTCCACACTTTCGAATATCGATAAATTTTCCCTTTTTGGTAGATCCAAAGAGAAACACAAAGCGATAACCAGGCCATAAACACGAACCCGAATCGGCTGATGCTGATTGGCATTTTAAAGTTCTCCATGGTGGTCAACTGTATTTGCGATGGAATCTTGAACACTGAAACTCTGGTGAAAAGATGGTACAAAGGGTTGAGAAAACTTCCAAATTCAATGGACACTTTGTTTGTCACACTTGAGCCAAATTTTGTCTCGCCAAAGCCTCTCTCTCAGCAATTGAACCAATATGAACAACTTCATGTAGGTACCAACCATAAGAATGGAAATTGAAAAAAAACGAAAATATAAACGTGAAGACAATAATCACGAACTTGGGCCCCCAGTTTTCACCATGACAAGAACAATGAATCCTATCGGCACTTGTACCTTGTCCCATCGTTGAATCACAAAGAAAATGGCCCAAAGGTAGAGAAATTTTTCTGGTTTTATGACAAGGAAAAAGGGAACCAGTCAAGTTACCATATAATTTCGGGTATTCTTTGTTTCCGCTTTTACGCCTGGAGACAAAAATTCAAAACCAAACGGGATCGATCTATACAGTCCATAGGCCTTACCAAATCAGCTCAGGTGAAGGGTAAACATTTATGTTAATCAGGTTAAAATACTGGGAAATTCAACTGCTCGATCAATATTATCGGCGGGTAAAAGGTAAGACCAAAGGGTTAAAAGTAAATATTCAATGATTAGAATAAAAATCATCAATAGATCACAAATTGATCCTCTTTTCCATAATTTTCTAAGATAATAGTTAACTGGTTTCGAATTGTCTTTAACAATTGTCTCGTATACTTTTAGGGTTCGACTTGTCATCTCTTTCCATTGATAATAACCTTGGATCTTTTTATAACAATCAACTGGTGGTAACACTTTACCATCATTTAGATCGTTAATTGCTCGATTAATACCATCGATTAAACCATCAACAGTTGGTTCAGTTAACCAGATTAATTGGTTGGGTAACACTTCAGGAATACCACCGACATTGGTTGAGACAACTTGTAATCCACAAGCAGCGGCTTCAATTATCGCCATACAAAAGGCTTCAGTTAAAGATGAATTAAGAAATATATCACCCTGAATTAGAATTGATTGAATGTTCTCATGTTTAACCATACCGAACATTTTAACTCGACTTTGAAGTTGATTCTCCTCAATCATTTGCTCTAAATTAACCCGCTTAGGTCCATCGCCGACAATAAAGAAACGAGTTGATGAATAATTTTCACAGATTATTGGTATCACTTCAATCAATAGATCAATTCCTTTTCTGTAGACCAATCGACTGACCACAATTATTGTAACTAAATCAAGAGGGAGAGAAGTAAGCAAACAATTAACAATAATTACAACAAGATCAACAATTTAACTAACCATAATTTGAGTCACGTTTTGAAGGATCAGGTTTGAAAACATTGGTGTCAACAGCGTTTGGGATAACATATATTTTGGTTGGATCGACACCGGCTCTCAATGCGGTGTTTTCTTTACTGTTCAGGGTAAATATAAGGATAGAAGATTAGAATTGACAATTAAGTCAACAAGAATCAAGGGAAACAATTAAAATGTAAATTACCCAACATGAGAAACACAAATAACCGCATTGGCAAAAATGAGCGACATCCCAAGAAGCTGATTTGTTATGATGGCGGAAACATCGGCAAATCCAAACAATGAATGATCAGTAAAGATGGTGGTTAATCCCAACAATTTACCATGAATCAATGATTCAATAGCCATTGAAGAAAAGGCTGAATGACAATGGACAATGTTAATTTGTTCCCTAATTAAAATGGATCGGATCAATGGTAGGGAAGCAAATAGAGTTGGTAGAGTACATTGATTATAGATTACGGCGAATGGTAAATAATAGACTTTTAATCCTCTTGACATGAAACGAATTCCCTTTCGATCACCATAAGAATGGGTCAAGACAATCACCTTGTGTCCATAATTAATTAAACACTGAGATAATTGGAAAATGTGACTCTCAACACCACCAGAATTTGGGTAAAAAAAATCCGAAATCATACTAATAGTAAACAACCATCAATGTAAACATGTGATTGGGAAGATGAAATAAAGAAGATAATTAGTTAATTAATCAACTGGGAACAATTATAAAGTACATACCATATTCTGTACATGATTAATTAATCAAGTTGACGTGTAGAAGGTTAAATCATCATGGATTAATTAGTTAATTTGGTTGGAGAAAAACAAAAACAATAAAGTGAAAAGAGTAAACAAAAACAAACATCAACCAATAAGATCAACCCAGAGACTGAATTTGAATGAGGGAAAAGTTGATCAATTAAATTTAATTTTCTTCAAGTTAATTGTTACAATTGTGATTCTTTTTTTTGATGATATTATTGATTATTAATGATCGATGAAAATGGAATAAGTTGATTAGTTTTTCGTTGATACTTTGGAGTCTTAGTTGATTTGATTAACTTGAGAACAATTTAAATTGTTGTGAAAGTAAATATTTTTTTTTCATTAATCACAGGAAATTAAATTGTTATTTGTTAATTGTTGAGGTAAATTGTTGGATGGTTGTAAATAATTATAAATTGGTTCTTTTTTTTGAGAGTTGGGAATAAATTAAATTGTCAATGTGAACCATTGTACTAAGTAATTAACTGATTGTTAACTTAACAACTCGACATAATCAAGGGAAAATTATAGATAATTCAATTTAATCAATTATTAATCAACTCTCCAAAAGGTATGTACATGATTAGTTTATTGTGATTAGACTCTATTAAGGGGTTGATTATAAGATAATTAAAGATAATCAACAATTAACAAGTGAAAATAAAGTAACATCTTTTAATCATCATCAGGCCTCCAACGAGCAAGCAATTAACTCCAACAATTTAGTCTTGATATTTAGCTTCAATTTCAATGGTGAACAGTTTAACTTTTTCTTGGTTCGTATCAAATCAAATTGTGCCAGTCTTGGACTCTCTTAATTGTAACAGTTAATCACTAATTGTTGATTGTTATGGATAATTATTCATCTCCCTTTGATAGGGAAGTGATTCTGGTTCAAAATAAGACTGAAAAAGTTTCATTGAAAAGCTTCAAGGAGGAAATTAGAGCAACAATTGATGTTGAACGTTTAATTACCGAAACTAAAATTATATTAGATGTTGAAGAGACTTCAGTTCATCGTATTCTAGAAGTTGGTTTAATTAAGGTAAGACAATTAAATTTAATTTCTAAACAATCAATTTCCATTCACTGTTTAGCTGATTTTTATTTCTCAGTAACAATCAGGTTACAATTATAAGATTACGACTTAAATTGAAGTAATAAAGATGTAACTTAACATTGACACTTGATTAGATTCAATTACAGTGATTCAAATTGTGTAATTAACTTGGTGTGTGATTAATTAGTGATTTAAATTGTTCGAGACTTTTAATTTTTCTTCTTCTTTTTGTTCCATCTGAAAATCTAGATAATTGGTCGAGCCTTTGATGTTAATCAATTTAAATCAACTCTTTGTATCAGTGAAAATGGTAAGTTAATTGTTACCGTTGATTTGTTATTGTATTTAGACAATTTAATTTAATTTGATTGTATTTATCTTTTAATTTAGTTCCCAAATTAAAGGAAACATTTCAAAGTTTGACTTATGATGACAATGGTTTCTTTGCCTACGATCAATCATGGATTTGTGTAACGTAAGTGTTGGTTAATTGTTGCAATTATACAGACCATCAGCTAATTGTTATCAATCAATTTCTTAGAGGAAGTTTACCTTTTTTGTCTCAACGATTAACGGGAATCATTTGTTTGGCTAATCCAGTTAATTTCGGTGACAATGCAGCCGAGATACGATTTATAATCATGGTTTTGGTGCCGATTCGTGAGGTAAATTTAGTCAATTGTTGAGAGTTGATTGTTGATTGTTTGCTAATTGTTTTGATTTAGAAAGGAACCAAGAATGCATTCGAAACGGGTCGTACTTTTGGGACACTTTTTACATCAGCTGAATTTCGTAACAATTTACTTCAGGCCAAAAAAGCTTCCGATTTCCTGACGATCGTCCGTCGTCGGGCAAATGACCTGCTCAATGGTGGTAATACCTTAGATCGGATCTACTCGGTTGACCCTTATGCCGGTGATAAGATTAAGTTGACCTTTTGCAAGGGAATAAGTGAAAATTTTATTCGAAGGGCGAAATTTTATCTCTCCGATTTCGTGGACGGAGTTAAAGGTCCAAACACTTTCAGGAAAACGCTGGCGACCATTTTTTTCCTCTATTTTGCTTGCATCTTACCTTGTGTTGCTTTCGGTGTGCTAGTTGATAAAACAACCAATGGATTAATTGGTAATTAACTTGATTTAGAGCTTCGTTAATTGTTATTTATGTTTTATTGCAAAATTTAAACTCTTTTCCTTACAAGATGCTAGAAGGGCGATTATTGGTCAGGCGATTGGTGGACTAATTTTTGCTCTTTTTGCTGGACAACCTTTGGTCATTATTGCGACAACGGCACCACTTTGTTTGTTCACTAAAGGTATTGATTGGTTTTAATTTTGCTCGAACTTTAATTGTTGGTTAATTGGATTGTTTCCCTTTAGCGGTTTATGAAATTTCTCAAGATTTTAATGTTGATTTTTACACGATGTTCGCGACTGTCGGGCTTTGGAATTCCTTTTTTGTTATAATCTATGCGCTTTTCGATGTGTCGATGGTCATGAAATGGTGCACTCGAAATACGGAGGAGATTTTCGCGATTTTTATCTTTTTTGCGTTTTCTGTTGATGCGCTAAAAGATGTCGTTGGAAGTGAGAAGTTCAGTTAATTGTTAGTGAATCGATCAACTAAATTCGCATTTTCTTTCATTTGGTCAGATTTTCGCGAGTTCTACCCAGGATTCGGTTGTAACGAGCCGATAGTCGGTTACATGATAAATTCTAGTGGTCAGTTGATTATGAATGTTGGTCAATCGATGGAAACAACTAATGCCACTTTGGTTAATGTAACGAACCTCGAATCTTTTATTTACTGTCGACCTCAAAGTTGCCTTCTTTTTGTCCTGCTTATGCTTGGGACACTTTGGTTGGCACTTAAACTTTTCGAGTTCAATAAAACACCTTATTTGGGATCTACTAATCGTGAAATACTTTCGGACTATGCTCTGCCCATTTCAGTGGTCATTTTTTCCGCTATTGGAAGTTTCTTATTTAGTGTAAGTATTGGTACAGATTCACGATTTTCTTTATACAAAAATCGACCTCAAACTTTTAATCGCGAATTACTGTTTGATAGGCAATCGAAACGGAACAATTTAAATTCAGTGAGTCGTTCACTTTTAAAATGGCCTCATTTGACTCGCTCACTCCAGGATCGATTGTGGTTGCTGGTGGACTTGGATTTGCGCTTTCGTTGCTTTTCTTTATGGACCAAAATATTTCCGCCGCATTGGTTAACACTCCTTATAACAATCTGAAAAAAGGTTCAGGTTATCATCTTGATTTGTTAATTGTCGGCCTGCTCAATGCATTTACCGCTCTAACTGGACTTCCATGGATGCATGGGATTCTACCCCATTCTCCACTTCATGCCAGGTCACTGGCCGATATTGAGGAACGGGTTGAAAATGGTTGCGTTAAACAGGTTGTCGTCTATGTACGAGAAACGCGAATAACGGGAATCATTGCTCACATACTGATCGGCCTTTCACTTTATCTTATTCCTTATCCATTGACCTACATTCCGGTTCCCGTTCTCGATGGTCTTTTCCTTTACTGTGCATTCGCTTCTCTTCGAGGAAACTCATTCTACGAGCGTTTCCTCCTCCTTATCACGGAACAAAACTCGTACCCACCAAATCACTACATTCGACGATCACCCCAAAAGTACATTCATTACTTTACGTTCATTCAAATCGCTCAACTCGCGATCTTATGTTTCTTTGGTTTCTTTGGATCACCGTACGTACAAATGGCCTTTCCAATAGTGATCGCTCTTCTTATTCCAATCAGGTCAGTTTTATAAAGACGATTTACAATCGATAACATTTTCCTCTTTTTTGATTTTCCTTTTCACAGACATTTAATTGTTCCCAAAATCATTCCGGCTAAATACTTGCGAGCCATTGATGGTTACCATTGATCTTTTTCCTTGTCATGATGAAACCAACGATTCGGAGTTACTATCAATTGTATCAATCTAATGGAAATTAAATTGTTATTAACAAAATTAGTTTCGACTTTTTTTTTCAACTTTTAATTGTCATGATCAAAGATGATTTTCGGTGTCACCGTTTGAGATGATAATGTAATGGAAAACAAAAGAGAGACAATTTGTTTTCCGATAATTAGTGAGTTGATTAGTATTAGAAATAAATTTACTCGATCTGTGTTCCTGATCGTAAGTGTTAATTTCTTATACATAAATTGAGGTATTTTGTTTGTAAGCGAGATGATTAATTAAAATGATTAGAGAGAGAGAGAGAGAGAGAGAGTCGTAAAATTTGATTATGTTATACACAATATTTTCTGTCTCATGTTTTTCTTATATATTTGTATGTTGTGTATACATTATATGTGTTTAAATAGTTGCTTTGTTTTTAATTGTCGCACCTAAATTAGTTGTTATGATTGTTGCATTGAGATGGGAAAGTTTGTATTCAAATATACATGGAGAATGTATATTTGATTTTGTAAATTTTTTGAATCAACAATTTACCAAGCAGCTTATTCAGTTCTTTTGTTTAGTGGCCTATTCATAAAACTGTAAAATTGAACCAATTAGTTAATGTTATAGTTTATGAATCAATATTAAGTATCTTTAGTGGAGTTGATGCTTTGGCTGCCTTGGGAAATTTTTCATAATAACGATCAGCTTTGAGAAATTTAACTGAAACAAGACGACGTTCACACCACCAACCATGAAGAGCAGCAAAACTGTTGGTTGCTGATTCAATTGAATCACACTTGAGATAAATAAAAAGCTCCTTCTTATCAGCACTACCGAAGTCAATGTGAAGTATTCCATGGTACTTAGAGGGTGAGTGTGCTGTACATTTCTCTATGATGGCGTTTCTTAGTTGTGTCTTCCAGCTTGATGAGCCATTTTTATTTGGGATATTTCGTAGTTTAAGAAATTCTGTTAATGCTTTTGGAACTGAATTAATTGATCCATTGGTTGGACTGATGATTTGATTGTTTATTCCTACTCCCAGTGGATCCGATGTAGAATCAAATGCTGATCCTTGCCATTCAATTGTTCCCGTTCTCATTGTTGTTGCATCTATACGAAATTCATTTAGTCGATCTTTGGTTGATGAGCTTCCACACCATTTCCATGTTTTAAATTCTTCACCATCTCTTTCCTCTATTGCTGAATTAATATGATAATCGTTATTCTCGATAAGTTCAACCACTTTGGACCAGATCTTTTTCCATCGGGATTCCTTTCGTTGTTGTGGTGTTAAAAGGGTATCTCGTATGTTAATTACTGGCATTGAACGAGGCTCATCGGGAGATTGTAGAAGATCAATTGATTTTTTAACTAAATCTTGAACGGCAGCTTCATCTTCATTTTGAATCCTTTTCTTGTGACTTATGTATTGGATGATTGAGAAAATAATTGAAATGATTATTAGTACTGCTGAGGTATATTTTCCAAATCTCCATAGGAAAGAACGGACTTTACAGCCCATTGATAGACTTATTGGATAAGTTTTATCAACAGTGATAAATTGTTCTCCATTTTTTGAATGAACTTTCAAATGAAGATTATAGTTAGAGATGAAACTAATGGCCTCCGAAAAGTAATCAGCGAATAACATTTTTGAATTAACAGACGGATTGTTAGATTGAGGTAAAAGGTAACCAAGTTTTTCATCTATTTCGGTGCTTTTAGCTTGAAGAGATTTGAAAATATCGTTAACTGAATAAGTACGGGCATCCGAACGTTTAGATTCTTTAGAACAATAGTAATCCAATAATCCTTCCTCAATGTGGTTAAGAATGTACCGAAATACTAGGAGAGAAGGTTTTATCCGATTCTCATTTTTTGTACAAAATTGTTTCTCTTCTAAATCACAAACAGGAAGGGTGAGCTCATTTAAGTTGACACCAAGGTTGGAAACGCTTACGGGACCAAGATCCTGAGCGATATTGAACCGCATTCGACTGTGAAGGTAAAAGGCGGCGATGATAGAGAAAAATAACAAAAATACTCCTACAATACTATATGAAGTCCACTCAGAGACAGTCAATTTTTCAATGACCGATGAGTCCACATTATTGGGATGCGATGTGGGTGCCATAGAAGAGATAATCCTCTCGAAACGTTCATTAATTGATTTCTCTATTTTATCTCTTTTGGTCGGAGCAACCTGATCAAGAACTTCTTTGAATAAAAGCCTAAGCTTGTTAACATGAGACATGGTTAAGTTGATTGACACAAATACTATCACTTTTATAAACAATGTGACACTTTTTCTTTAAAGACAATGTGACCAGATTGGTCTGGAGAACAAGGTGAGTTCACTTTCAACAATTAATTCGGTGATTTAAGACGATTAATTAATTAGAATTAAGAAGCTGCAAACACACGTTAATCTCTCGGCTGATGAGAAGAGAATTTCGGGCGACACCTGGTGATCTTTTTCTTCTCTTCTCTTGGAGAGTCTGGGCTGTTCTCTACTCTCCTTTGGGTAGAAGACTCCATTGTGTTTTCCACTCTCTCTCTCTCTCACAGTCTCTTTTTTCTCTCTCTCTCTCTTTTTCTCTTTCAATTTCCATCATCATCCACAGGATCTTCATCATCTTTCCTAATTTCCATCTTCTTCTTCATCATCTTTCTCCCCAGACCGTTAGGGCTGAGGGTTATTATTATTTACTTTTATCAAAATTTAGATAAGTCTTCAGTACATTTTAGTGTAAAAAGTTACGTAATGACTGATAAAAACAAGATAATTTGACTCTTTTGATAAATTTGTTTCTTATTTTTTCATCATCAACAAAAACCAAATAAATTTCTCACCTAGTGTTTTTTATTTGAACTATTCACTTTAGTTTTGATGTTTCTTTGAATAACATCAAAAAAGTTAAATACATAAATAAATTAAGGAAATTATAATAAGGATTAACTTGTGATAGAATATAATTTAAATTTCAAACCTGATGTAATTAAGTAAATTATCTTTTTTACGGGTAAATGTAAATAAGAGAAAATAGAAAACCAGAGGAAAAAAAGATGAAGAGATGAAAAGATTTCAACAGAAATTATTACAATTATACTTACATTCGGATTTTGAAATTTACATCATTTAGATCACAAGAATAACGTAAGTAAATTTACCATGATTAGAATTTTTTGATACATATTTTTGATACAATTAAAAGAAATAAATGTCAACTGGATGAGAAAGAATGAGAATGTTATTGTTTTGGTAAGAGAGACATTAATCAAAGTGAACAAGAGAAAAAAATAGACAAAGAAAGAGATAAAGAAGAAAATTGACTGACACAAGTCATTTTCTTCTTTTTTTCTTTCTTTTTCTTTCTCTCTCTTTTTGTCTTCTTTTTCTTCGTCTTCTGTCGTTTTGATTATCAATCAGCTGAGAATATTTTTTGAAAATGAATTTAATCAATTAATTAATCATTATGTAAATTAAATAAATTGATATTCATCTCTTTATTTTTTGTAATTAACTATCAATTGAATTTCATTTCGTTTAGCATCAAGAGATCAAACTTTGAAAATTGTGAAAATTGGTTATGGTTTCACCAAAGTAAGAAAAAAAATACTGAGAGAATTTCGATTAATTTTAGTGGAAATAAAAGGAAATAAAAGAAAAAACAAAAAATATTGGAAATTAATAGTTTCATCTTACCAAATTGAATAAATGTAGCAAATTGTATCCCAATGATGGTGATTAATTAAAAGATGAATCTATGGTGTATGTACAATGCGAGTCTTAAGGCGTCAATCAAGAAACAAGTTAATTGTTACAGTAAAATTAAAGTAATGATGATGATGGAGTAACATTGATTATAAATTGAGGTGACTCTTCAATGGTGATTAAAATTAACTGTTCATCTAACCTTGATGTTGGTGTTTCTTTTTGTTGAACTAGATTAAAAAAACATCTCACTTTCATAATCTTATCAATATATTCACTACGATAGATATTCCATATTGTTCAATTTAAATCAATTTCAAAGGTAACGATCACAGGGAGAGAAAGATAAATCACAAATTATCCTGGAATTGGAATAAATTGAACTACACTGATTTCATGGTTTTCGTTTTTGGAATCGGAATAGAATAGGATAATTGTAATAGATTAATGAAGAAAGACGAAGTTAAGATAGTTTAATTAAGAGAGAAAAATAAACAAAAAAACAACAACAAAAAAGGTTAACAATCACAGACTAATAATTGGAAAGCAACAAGAAGATGTTGATGATTTTACTATTAAAATGACGTTGATTGCTGCTAATTTTCAATATTGATCAATTGAAGATTGTTGATGATGTTATTAATGTATATCGGTCGATGCTTAAGAAGGAAACTAATCATGATTAAGATCATTTGGAGAATTTAAGTTGAGAGAATTGAGAAAATGTTTGATTGTTTATCTATTATTTCAACAAGTAAATTGGTTGATCATTATTGTCATTGAATTGACATGAGGTTAACCTTTATCATTATTTATAAATTAATAGTTACATTGAGAGTTGGTTCCTTGACATTAGTTTGATTCAAGAAAGAAACAAGATTTGAATTTAATTTTTCAAATTTAACAAAAAGAAGAAGAAGATAGAAAAAATTGAACTTACCATTAATTTATTGTAATCAGCTGATATAATTCAATTGTTTCCATTTCTGTCAATTTCAAGCATTAAGAATATTTATATTGACAGTTAACTAATGTTGATTTAACTTTAAAAATTACAATAAACTTGTTGCACAGATTAAATCAATTTGTTAGTTATTGGCAAGTGATAAAAATGTGTTGAAGAGAGTGCGTGAGTAAATTCAGTAAAAATCTAAGTGTTAATTACAATAAAATTAACAATAATAGATAAATCTTTGGAAAATAATTAAATAAAAAAAACTTCTATCAAAGTGAGAAAAATTAAGATAATTGTTTCAATAAAGTATCAGTTTATATTGACTTTCTATGAAAGTACAAATTAAAATATCTTGATTTGTTTTAAAATTTGATGTTAGATCAATAGACATTAGTGAATTTCTTGATTTTTCTATTAATTATATTGTACTTTCTAAGAAAGTTAGTTCATTAAAATTACCTTTGTGTACTTCTCAGTATTCATATTCATTGAAACTTCTATCAAAGTGAGAAAAATTAAGATAATTGTTTCAATAAAGTATCAGTTTATATTGACTTTCTATGAAAGTACAAATTAAAATATCTTGATTTGTTTTAAAATTTGATGTTAGATCAATAGACATTAGTTGAGTTTCTTGATTTTTCTTTTGATTATATTGTGCTTTCTAAGAAAGTTAGTTCATTAAAATTACCTTTGTGTACTTCTCAGTATTCATATTCATTGAAACTTCTATCAAAGTGAGAAAAATTAAGATAATTGTTTCAATAAAGTATCAGTTTATATTGACTTTCTATGAAAGTACAAATTAAAATATCTTGATTTGTTTTAAAATTTGATGTTAGATCAATAGACATTAGTGAATTTCTTGATTTTTCTATTAATTATATTGTACTTTCTAAGAAAGTTAGTTCATTAAAATTACCTTTGTGTACTTCTCAGTATTCATATTCATTGAAACTTCTATCAAAGTGAGAAAAATTAAGATAATTGTTTCAATAAAGTATCAGTTTATATTGACTTTCTATGAAAGTACAAATTAAAATATCTTGATTTGTTTTAAAATTTGATGTTAGATCAATAGACATTAGTGAATTTCTTGATTTTTCTATTAATTATATTGTACTTTCTAAGAAAGTTAGTTCATAAAATTTACCTTTGTGTTCTTCTCAGTATTTATATTCATTTGATTTCTACCAAAGTGAGATCAACTAAGATAATAGTTTGACTCAAAACCAATAGGTGGCTTTTAGAAAAAGGACGGTCTGGGGTTTATTTTGCTCAGCAAACCTACTTATACTTGTCTCTATCATTTTCTCTGGTTAAACCGACAGCTTTTAGTCCAATGGGATACAAAATAAAATTCACTATTTCCTCCTCTTTTTGTCAACTCAATTGTATTTACATTTTTTATTGTGATAATTAATGTGATTACTTTTTCCTTTTTTTGTTTGTTTGTGTTTTTCTTATATTTTTTATTTCCCTCTTGTCATCATCATCATCATCTTCTTCTTTTCCTTCTTCATCAACATTCTCTACATCAACAATATTCTGCCAACTGTTTTTCTCACCTACATTTCTATTCTCCATCGGAAAACCCAATCAACTTTTGGGACTTGCAAACTGATATTCAATGAAGTAAATATCATAATTTATCATCTTCATCATCATCATCATCATCTTTTACTAATCTTTACTCTTTCATCTTGTTACTCTTTAGCTTATTTTCTCTTCATTTTCCAATCTTCTTTTATCATCATGTGTTGTTGCGCTTTATTTCTCATTCTATGATTTCTCTTCAGCTTTCTATCTATTACTTACCTTGATAGTTGTTCTTTTACAAATTTTTCTCTTTTTATTTACTTTTATTGGTCTTTGACTTTTCTCATTTCACATTAATTACAGAGAGAAAGAGTGAAACAATGGTTGACAAATTGTTCTCTTTAATCTTTGGCGGGTTAAAGATTTATAATTTTGATAAGAAATCATAGTGACTCCTAATCCATAAGAGAGAGAGAGAGATTGATGATTATTGGAAAAGTCTCACTCTCAGTGTTTCATTTCTAAAAAAGAAAGAGAAAGAAAGAGGAAAAGAAAGACTTGGCTTTGTTTCCTATGTGTGCCAAAGGCGAAATCTATCAAATCTTATATTATACTTTCTCTCTCTCTCTCTCTCTTTATTATCTCTCTGTTTTCTTTCTTTCTCTGTCTAATCTTCTTCTTATTTTCTCCATTGTCTTCATTTTCATTAACACCATTCTCCCCTTCATCTCGATATCAATTTAAACTAATTTATGGTTTTATTTATCTTCATTATAGTATAATGGAAGCTCCCCCGCCAACTCTCCTGATTCAAATTCGTAAGGATCTTGAAATTATGTAAGTCTTTGTGTCTTCTGTCAATTTCTTCACATCATTTCAACTCCAGTAAATCCGATAATACCTATGGATTAAAACTATTTTTGACATGACAGCATCTGAATGAGCTGAGATGATGTGTTGAAATGAAATAGCCATTGGTCTTTCCAGATCAATATACGTTAATCTCTAGACTAATGCATTATTGTCATTTGATTATTGTGATTAGTCGATGATTAAGAAGACAATTAAAAAAATGCAGAGTGGAGGCTATAAGAAGCCAACCTGATCCATTGTCTAAATTTTTCCACGTTTTCTTTGCATTAGTCAAAAGATTTACTGTTATTCAATATAATTCTAATGGTTGATTTGATTTTCTATTCTTCTAGGTGCCAAGACATTCAAAGAATGGTTGGATCTCTCACCAAGATGCAAGCTGATGTTGTATCAACAATCAATTTAATTGACACCGGATCAAAACAAGGCCAAGTAATGAACCCATTCGGACAACCAGGGATGCCAGGGACAAACCATAGTAATAACATTTATCAAGTAACTGGTGATGCTTATAATAATAATTCAACACCAGGAGCAGGTTCGTGTGTTGATTATAACAATAAATTACCTCAGCAAGCAAACAACAACAAAGTGAGTTTAGCAAAATTAGTGAACAAAAACAAAAACAAACCATACAATGTATCTTCATCTTTGGTTATTATAATCAAATTAATTAATCACCACCACCACCATCATCTAACCTCCATCCTACAATTACCTCTAGATTTGGATGATACAAATGTTGTACCATTTTTAACACAAGATCTACATTTATGGTGATACTTTTGATTTTTACTGGATTTAATTTCTAATCTTTACTCTTTCTTTGTGTTTTTTTCTCTCTTTCTCTCTCTCCCTCATCCAAATTACTTAGAGAAGTTTACCAAAAAGACAGTTGAAGAATACGAAAAGCAATTGTCATCCTTATCCACCACATATGAGGAAAGCTACAAAAGATATGAATGGGGCCCCTAATGGTAATGGTCAATTTGGTACAGATGATATGCTTTGGGTTCGAAGATGTTGTTTATGTCCATTCGTTGAAAAATCAAAGACCTATCATATCTACAAACATTATGAAAGATACCACAACGATGAACGTGATTCAGTCAATAAATATGTACAAGAGCTTGTTTCAGATGCTGAATTTGAAGCATTATATGGAGAATGGAAAACATACTCAAACATATCTAAAAGATTGAGAATTCACAAAAATAAGCAATAGAGATTTTCTTGAAAAGAAATTAATCCAATTATCATCTCCCCAACTTCCCCCTCTGTAGAAGTGACATTTTTTTATTAGTGATATTTTTTTCCAATTCTCATCGTAACCGAAAAAGAAGAACAAAAAACCTAAAGAGAAAACCACTTACCATCATCTCTCATCATCTTTCATCATCATCATCATCATCATCATCTCTCATCATTAAATGATCTTGATCCATTATAATCGCCCAATTAGCAGCTACAACAACAAGAACGATATTTAATCGAACTGTAAATTATTCTTGTGGAAACAAAACCTTTGTAAACAATTGGAACAAAAAGGAAACAAGGAAGGGAAAGAATCTACAGTTAGCAACCAGATAATGGAACTCATGGTGAATAGCTTATTCTCACGAAATCGGCTATTTGTCCAGTGAGAAAGAGATTTTCATTAATCAGAATATGGATCATTTTTACAATCATGTTCTGATGAGACTCTCCTTCTTCTAGGAACCATAGAGAAAGTTAGTTCGATTATCTGGTTGTTCTCTGTATTTTGATTTTGAAGAAAAGATCTTTTAATAATTTACTTAACTAATTGAAGAAAAAAAAATCCATTCACATAATATGATGTAATTTAATCACGTTTTCATCTTTAATTGTAACTTAACAATTACTAATATCAACTCCTGTAATGTACCAACATTTGACTGTGTAATCATCATCATCAACAACATCAACTTTTCATCCGCATCTTCATTCACACCATCATAATCATCCTAATCATCATCTTCCATTTCACTAAATGATTCAAAAAAAGTAAGGCAATTTAAGTTGAAATCTTTAATTGTCAACTAAAGATATCAAGTGAATTTATCAAAGATGAATTACACTTGAAATTGATTGTTCCAATGATTCTAAATTAATCTATTAATCTATTACTGTAATCTCTCTCTCTCTCTCTCTCTCTCTCTCTCTCTCTCTCTCTTTCTTTCTTTCTCTCTCTCTTTATTTTTTTTCTACACAATCAATTAAAAATATAGATTGATTGTCAATCAAACAATTTACAAAATAAAAAACAAAACCGCAACGCGATCACAATCAATTCTGAAGCCAAAAAAAGATTCATTATCAAATCAATAATCAACTGAAATGATAATTTTCTTAATCAAAGATACGATGTAATCACTAATGAAGAATCAATTGACAACACCAATTAGATAATCAACTAATCAATAGTATCAAAACTGATCAATCTAATCAAGAATCAAAAAACTGCAAACAATAAGTTATGATATTAATCTAATCATTTCTTATTCTAATAAATGATGAGAAAAAAAGTTAGACAATCAACCAAATTAATTAACCATAATCACCGTTAGTCTATCGGTAATTAATTATTAATAACAATTGATGAAATCAAGCAACAATTTAATCAACAATCAAATCAACAGGATTCAATATCTAATTGTTTCTTTTGCCATTTCCAACCTGAACCACACCTTCCCGGACAAATCCTCTTCAACCATTGATCAATTAACTTAATCATCATGAAAATTAGCTAATATTGAACAAGGAAAAATTAATTTACTTTCATCATCATCTTCAACTTTAATCTAATCACAATTAACAAATTAATCCACCTCCAAGTTTACCCCTTTCAAAGTAACACTCCCACTGATCATCTCAAGTGTATCATTTAATTATTGATTAACTGATTGATCATGCACTGTCTTAACCATTCAATGAAATCCTTGAGATGATCAAACAATTAATAATTGATAATCAAATTAATGTGAATAATAAATAATGTGAAAGTTTAATTGTGATCAAAGTCGCGAACGGAAAAAATTAAACCAATTGATTGGTTTTTTTTTCTGTAACTGGATTAACCTTTTCCCCAATCATTTAATTATTAGTTGATATGGAAAATGATTTAGTTCCTGATGTTTTAAATAACAACAATTTAATTGATGATAATCAACAATTAACTATTTGTAATTTTTCAAGGTTTAATTAACTGATTTAATTTCAACGATTTTATTACAATGTTGATTATTGAATGGGATGGAAATTGTTATTTTCTCCAGCAATTAACAACAATTTGATTATTTTCTATTCAGCACAATTTAATTGTTCCAATAAATGAAACTACAGAATTACAATCAAGGTGATTTAAGTTATTGATTTAGTTTCAATTAGAATTGTAAATAAAAATGAAAAGTTTAATTTTCTTTCATATTGATTCGTATCCATAAACGATTTTAAAGTTTCCTCTCTTTGTTTATCAATCATCACAATCAATAAATTGTAATGATTTCAAGAATCGACGGTGATGATGACGATAATCAGAATAATTGATTACAAAAGTTAATTGTAATTCATTGGATTAATTTAATGTTAATTCTTTGGGTATCCAATCCCAATGAATCCATTAACTTTTTCCCTTTTCCAGCAAATTGTTGTATCTTTTTTTTTCTTACTCTTTTCTCCTCCTCTTCTTAATCACAATCAAGATTAATTGTTGTTAGCGTACTTGAAATCAAAGTAAAGAGAAAACATCGGAATTAATTAATTGTTCTTTCGTATGTGTTAATTGTTACAATCACAAATCGATTCTCTAATCCTTACAATCAACAAGTGAACATCAATCCAACCAAAAAAAAAAATAAATATCATAATCACTTTACCAGCGATACAAATTACGTTTATTTAAACATCTAACTAACAATTAACTAATCGTTACTACAAAATGACAATTAAGTATTTAATTTCTTCATCATCATCTTAATTATCACATTAATTGTTTTCTTTATGTAATCGACTCATTAAAGTTTCAACTATCAATTTATTTATAAATAAAATAATTTTTTCGTTCGGTGTTATTGTTATTAGTTTGTTAATTTTTCTTTAATTATTGTGATCAAATTAATCGCCGAGAATACAATTGACACCATGATGACTTCCTGTTCCTCTTTGATTAAAGTAAGATGGATTTTCGGCCTGATGGCCTTTTGGGGACTATTTTTCAACTACGCGACCAAAGTAATACTTTCGGCTACTCTTGAGGCGATGGTTAAATCAGATCTATCTCAGGACGAAATTGATCAACCGGAAAAATCGTCACAATTAAGTTTAAATCGAAATGATAGTGAGACAATTTATCGATTAACAAGTTATCATTATCCTAATAAAACGGATACAATGAGCTTTTCCCTGGCCAATGAATTCTATTCCTATCATGTGTACGATTGGTCATTCGAGACTCAGAATCTATTGAAAGAAGCTTTTTTCTATGGCTACATAATGACCGGTGTTATTGGTGGTCGATTAGCCGAAAGGTTCAGTGTTAAACATACCGTTGGAACGACGATATTTATCTCATCCCTTTTATCGTTAACAATACCGATCATCGCCGTTTATGGTCCCGGTGCTGTTTTCCTTGCTCGATTACTTCAAGGTCTGGCCAACGGTATGATCGATCCAGGTCTTAATACAATCTTCTCACGATATATCCCGATCAATGAGCGTTCCCTGTGGGGTTCAATTGTTTACTCTGGTTCTTCCTTGGGAACTATGATCATGTTAATCTCAACTGGATCATTGTCTCAACTTCATCAATATGGAGGCTGGAAATTGGCCTTTTATTTTCACGGGATCATGGGATTCATTTGGTACACAATTTGGCAGTTAACTGTTGCCGAAAGGCCTGAAAACCATTGGTTCATAACGGAATCTGAATTACTCGAGATTCAATCAGGAACACAATTGGATAATTCAAAGAAGGTAATTCCTTTTTCTTAACTCATAATAATATTTGTCATTAACTGTCTTGATTACATGGTTTTAATTACTCCATTTCACTTGTTGATTAACTAATATTTCACTAACTGTAATTAACTAAATTGGATATAGTCCATAGTTTTGTCTTTGTTTGTATATGAGCAATTAGTTAATCACCACATGCACACAAAAAGTTTCGCGATAATCAGCAATATTTTCTTATATTATCAATCACAATCATCGTTAAGTTAATTGCAGATCTTAATCTAATCACAATTTAATCATTGGCTTAGGATTAAGATGATGAAAGTGTGTGTGTGTCTGAGTTTTTCACCCGCAGCGGGAAAATGTTAATCCAGTTAATCACTGATCATCCAACTATTAGTTTAAATGGATTAGTTGATTGTCTTGATTAAACATAGAGAGAGAAAGTTATTGTAATTTGATCATGGAAAAACATGACAATAATTAAAATTTTCCAGTCGATTAATTAATTAATTGTCATCACAATTTAATTTAGAAGGAAAAAAAAGTCTGATTTAACTAAATTATCATCAAGCACAATTAACTTTTCTATTATTGATCAACTGATCAAAGTACAATTAAAATGATAAATTTTCTTACAAAGAAATCAATTGATTAAATATATTTATTGGAAAATAATTGATAACAATCAAAGCTCACACAATCAACAATTTCCTAATCAATTAACTTAATCTCTCCCTCAGTGTTTATCTCAATCTCTACTAAGATTGAAACAATTTATTTACAATTGTAAATTGTAAGAAAATAGATTGATAATCAACAATTAGCAGTTGATTGTTTGATTGAACAAAAAAAGAAATGATTAATAGTAGTAATGTTTGGATTTTAGACGCCCCGCCCTTAAGGGCGGGGCGTCTAAAATCCAAACAACTGAATTTTTCTATGAATCTTTCTGAATGAATTTTCTTCATAGACCCACGTTTTAAAAGATAATTAATTATGAACTAATTAAGCGTATTAATTGGCTATGAAGACACTAAGTCTATTTAATGAGCTATATATTTTGTCAATTGAAAATTGAATTTGATTATAAGCAGTAAAAGAGTAATATAAAAAAAAATTGATTGTAAATAATTGTCATGAATGATAAACTTTGAAAACGTAAAAATTATTGCTCTGGCCTCATAGTAGATTAATTGAAAAGTGTCCTCTTCATAGCTTTACTCTTGCGATCAGCGAAATTTTGGGAGATGAGGTTGCAACAAATCGTGTAATCATCTTTATCGAAAACCTTTTTTCCATTCAACCTTAGGCAATGAGCTATATGTAGAGAAACAAAGATTTGCATTAGAATTGATAAAATGAGGAGATTTGATGGTGATGATGATTATCAAGGAAATACTTACTTATAATCAGGTGGCTTATAGCTTCTTGGTAGCTTTGAAGAGCTTCCCACCCAAGTTTTCGGCATATAGCCTCAGATATACTCGGTTCACCGGCTCGTCCTCTTCCTTTGAATGTTTCAATGGTTATATCATATTCTTTAATGATAAGTCCTCGAGCCATCCTTGAAGCTGCTACTCTAATTGAGTCAACACCAGCTATATTTGAGCGATATCGGAAATTGCTCACAGGAACCACACCTTCAATGAAGAACTTTGAGCCGGCGATGAAGCTAAGGTCAGCTGGAATTTCTTCACCCCACTTCACTTTATAGCTTTTTTTCAAAGCTTGAAGATTAACTAACGCTTTGTCACCGCCTTCAATCCGCTTTGGCTCATCGGGTGATGTTGAATCAACTGTGGACGATGAAGTTGATGGCTGATTCACTTTACCAGCAGCCAATATAGCATCCACTTCTTCAAAATCCACATAGCTGAAGTCAAGTGGCTCAAATTCAAAAGCTGAAAGAGAATCAGCACTATCTTGCCGCTGAACTCGAGCTACTTCATAGCCGGATGACGTTGATTCACCAGTCGGTGGGAAATGGCTACAACCTGGTGTTGGACTCGAGCTACGAGGTGTAGATTTTTCAGCTGAATCGGGTGAAGTTTTGACTTTGCTTTTAAAAAAATCAGTCACCTTGGTTTGCTTTGTATCCTTCATGTTTATGGTGTTGACACCGACTCCACCATATAGCGGCTTAACAAATCTAATCACTCTGGAAAAGTCGATGACTATATTGTCTAATTTACACTTCTTTTTATTGATTGTTATGGCTCTTTTAAGAATATCTCCGAATGTGTCTGAAAGAAAAAAAATGAAGACTAGTTAGTAATCAGAATGAGGCTACAAAGTGTAAATTGAACTTACCTGAACTTCCGATGAAGTAGTATTTTTGTACCTCCTCTGAAGCTAGAAAGAGCTTTCCTTGGTACAAATTCATCGGAATTACATTCGATGTAGCCAAATTTTCACTGTGGATCACCTCTTTTTTACATTGAGCAATGTAGACAGTTTTACATTGATTAAAATCTAAAAAACCACAGGCTAACACATAAGGAGAGTCAATTTTTTTCTTGAAGAGGTTGCTATGAGGCAGGATTTCATGAGAACTCATATCTTTGATTTGAGTTGAATTAAAAACAATTCGAGCTGCCATAATGATGGAAATCAAATTAAAAAATTCACAATTTAAAAAGAAAAAAGAAGATTTGTTGCTTCTTAAAAGAAGTAAAAATGACTTGTAGCTTCTACAATGAATAAGAACAACTGTCTTTGTAGATGAACATAGAATAGAATTTTTATTCAAAAAGAACAAGCTATTTAGAATCGAATAAGCTAAGTAGCAATAAAAGCTACATTGAGCTTTGTTCTTTTTATAAATATTCATAGCTTCATATGAATAAATTGATTGAAGAAACTGTGATAAAAAACTTTGGAAAATTTTTTTGTTTACAGTGTAAACAATCATAACAAAAGCTACTTAGCTGTTGAAATAGCCGGTAACGTTGGCGATGAGTGTATACACAAAAAAATTAGGTGGTTCTGGTTATCATAAGATCAAGATTGATTGTTAAGATAAATTTTTTTTTGCAATTAATTATTCAAATTTTACATTGTTTAAATTTCAACATGAAGTTATTTATATTATTTTTTGTGCTATATTGTTGCTATAACTCTTGTGAAAATCAAATCGTGGACAAAAAGTTAGGTAAAGCTTGAATAGAACCAAATTTGCTACAAGTTTCTCATTTTTCTCTCTATTGATTCTTAGCTCTACAGAAAAATCAAGAAAAGGTTATTTACTGTTTTCGTGGATTGAAAGTGCTGAAAAAAGGATGTCACTTTGTAGCAAAAAGACATGAATTAATTGTTCACCCCAGAAAAGACTGTCTACTTACTTTTCTTTGCGATGAAGAAATAACAACGGTTCTTTGCTGTAAGTTTGACGAATCTTAACCGATTGTAGCAACTACACGATTTATCTTTTTACAGGTTTTTCTGATAGTGGATTTAAAGGTAAAGATGAATCTTCTACACAGTTAATGGTCAACAGCTACATGGAAGAGGCGATCGATTCAGAAAGAGTTGATAAAAAATTAGAATCTGGAGAAGGAGCTAAATTGATTTTGAATTTGGAGAAAGATAAAGAAATTAAAACATCGGAAAGCAAATTGTTCAATTTAGTTTTACTTCTAATTTGTCTTCTTTTGGTATTGTTTATTATTCTTCTTGTAATTTGTATGTGCGTTTGCTACAAAAAATTTTTCAAGAAAGTACAAATAAGCGATAAAGCAAATCCAGAGGTAAGAGTTACACACCTACATGTTTCTAGTTAATTAGATATGAATTTTTTATTAAGACAGGAATAAAAACTGTGATAAGCGATAAAGAAGACAATCTCGTAGATTTTGTTGGACCTTCACCTGCTATAAAGGATGTTTTCGATCCGATTCAACCATAAATCTTTCCATTTATTTTTGCGATATTCCTTTACTTATATTTTGTGAAACTTCCATTTCAGAATCGTCACTACTATTTGAAGAAGATGACGATGAAGAATAAACACAACTCACTTTTTTTATATCTGCTTGCATTGTAGCCAAAACTTTCTTCATGAATACCATGTCATTGGTCATAGACTTTTTGAAGTCTATCAGATCGCGCAATATTGAAGAAGTCATTGATAATTCAGTCTTCATAGACTTTTTAACATCTTCAAAGTAAAGATCAATTCGATGTGATAAACCGGCTCTGTGTTTTGGTTTCTTCACAATTTTAGGCAAGATACTCAAATCTTTACCACGAGAAATTCCTGGTGTTGGGTGAGACACTAATTCACACCGAGTACCACAAGAAGATGAAGTTTCATTTTCTCTACATCGCACTGTTTCATTGTTTTTCTTGGAAAGATTAGTTTTCATTTTGAAGTAGATTGAACTTTGAAGTTGAGAGTTTAAATGTTAGAAAATGAACAAGACTTTTAATAATTAAAGTTAACTTTTTAGATGGAGAGTTGAAACTAATTTGATTTCAATCAAAAATTGAAACGACATTAGTTGGAGATTTAAATAGGCCTTTTACTGTTTATATTTCGTATTAAATTTCCATAGAGTATTTTTCTGATCACAAGGATGAACTATCTTTAAGTCACGTATTTGTAATTATTCTTTTCTTTAATCTAATTATTAAATGAAACATTTTGAATTGAATTGACAATTGGATAAGTTGAACGAAAATGAGGAATAATCATTTGTGTAAATTGATTATACGATATAAAGCTACATTTTACATTAAATTTTGTCTAAAGGCATGATGGTTTTTGAGAAAAAGAGATAATAATAAAACAAAGAATTAACTCAAGATCATGTTAAATTATACCAATGAGAAGCAATTTTGTTTCTTTTACGAAATTATGTCATTTCATTGTTTATTTACTGGGTTGTCGATAAAGTTTAACCTGAATTAAATTTTGTATATAATGTTATATACCTTGGACGTATCGGTCCGAAAAAGCTGATAATAAATTAAAATATTATTACATTCATTGTATTATATAAATATTATATAGCGAATAGAATATTACTGTTTCAAACATGAAATGATAACATAATCATCAATATACAGATACATAGCCCTCACTAATATTTCCATAGATTAATCTAAATACACAGAAATAACAGAATTTTCCATCGAATTTATAAGTAATTATCAAAAGCTTGAATTATATGACAGTAATCATGATGATTGTGAAGATGTCACAGAATATTCTTGTTAGAATAGAAAAAGGCTGTGATAGCTTTTGCAGTACTAATGAAACTGTATATAAACAGAGAAAATTTTAAGGGAAATCACAGTTGGAAATTCAGGTTAGTTAATAAACTTTCTCTGAGGATAACCACTGTCGTTATCAAGCTATTCCTATGCTCAACAGCAAGGCTACAGCAGACATTGCTATAAAAGAAAAATCCTATGCTATCTAGCAAGGTAACGGCTAAGCTGAAGCCAACAATGAAACCCTATGCTATTTAGCAAGGTCATGGCTCTAGGTAGCCACTATTAGAAACTTTTGCTCAACAGCTAAGTCATGGCTCTAGGAAGCCACTGGAGAAAGCCGTGGCTCCAAAGCCAGGTCACAGCGCTCGGACGCTACAATCCAAACCCTAAGGCTCGTCAGCTAGGTCTCAGCGCTCGGTCGCTACATGAAAATCCATAAGCTTATCAGCTTGGTCATAGCTCTCGGAAGCTACAATAAAAATCCATAAGCTTATCAGCTTGGTCATAGCTCTCGGAAGCTACAATAAAAATCCATAAGCTCAACAGCTTGGTCATAGCTCTCGGAAGCTACAATAAAAAATCCATAAGCTTAACAGCTTGGTCATAGCTCTCGGAAGCTACGATATAAAACCATAAGCTCTAAAGCTTGGTCATTGTCTAGCAAACAATGGAGTAGGGAAAGGCTCCACAGCCTCTACTAATGTCATAGCTTGATAACTACACGTATTGTTTACTTTTTTGTACTATTAAGATAACGTATTCGTCATCTACATAGTTTTACAAAAAATAAACAACTTAAAGTGGTTTTGATTCCTCAAAAACATTTACTAATTTTTTAAAGCGAGCTCAAAATAACCTCATATTCACTTTATTTCTTTTCTGAATCACAGACATAAAGTAAAGTTTAGTTCTGGTGTGAAACGTTAAAATCAACAAAAAGCTGGTGTTATCAAATTATTCGAATTAAAATTAAATCACAGTAACGAATACCTGTTAATCTAAAGTGTTTGTTCGAATTCATCAGCTATAAAGCGCAGCTATATCGGCGTTGACCAATTTATTATTCCTCATAACTCAGGTAAAGTTGAGAGTGATCTTAGAAGAATTCAACTTAAAGATCGAACAATTGCTGAACAACAACCGGTTGATATATAAACAAATCTGGTTCGACAGGTAAATAGCGAAGATATCCAAACCATGGAGTGGGACAATTTGATGTTCTCATTAGTTAGTACCTGTGGAGGTTTTCTTGCTGGAAAAACAAAGTCTATTCGTGTTGTCAGAGGAAAACAAGATGCTTATCTTGATGACGTTGATAAGCCTAAGACTTGGCTTAGTATTGATTTACGAGTATGGACTAAAGAAGGCCTCTGGACTCCAACTGGTATTCGTCTTAAAGTTAAAGAACTGCAAAAACTTCAAACCTTATTGGAGGACAGCGATGATGAAGTGATTCAACATTTCTCCAACAACTCTTACTACAGGCGAACAGTTTATTTAATTGAAGATGAAGATGATAACTCTACCGAAAAGTATGCTGTTCTATTGGAGAAGGACAAAGTTACTGGTATTATGTTACAGAAGAAAGAAATAACAAGACTTCTGAGAATAATTCCACCAATGGCTTACTTTGTTGAAAACTTTGATGCTGTTGAAGAAGTAGCTTCTGATATACTTTTCAACTGTATGAGTTTTATAATATTTCGAGAGGCTGCAAAGTACATCAAATCCATATGTCCAGGGTGTAAACAGTTAGGAAATAATGCTGAATATGAAGTTCTCTCACCTGCTGAACACACCTGTATTACAGTATCTCCTTCTTCCCTAATATGTGAAAAGTGGTTTGAAGAGTTACTTGTAACAAAGGCTTATGACAAAGACATGCAGAATCTTTTCATAAAGATAATGAATTTCTTTGAAAAGCCAGACCACGAAGCAGTTGGTCTTTTACAGAAACATTTCAATGAACAGAAGAAGAGCAAGATGTTCAGAGATGGAGTTTTGGCAGGGTTCAGCAATGAGAGATCTCCTTGTTTTGAGCTCGCTTGTGGTATAGCATATGAAGATTTAACTAAAGATATTCCCATCCCTTCTTCTCTTTTCCAGAAGCGTAAACGGAACGAATAGTGGTATATCATTTAATCTTCATTTCATCATTTTTATCTTATATCTTTATCTTCAAATTTATTTTTAAAAAATTATTCTGTTTATCACATATTGTATTACTCTTAATCCGAAATTGAAGTGTTTGTAACTCATTTCATTTAATTTTATTACGTTTCTTAATCATATTTTCTTGATAGTTAATTATTTTGTCTATTGCTATATCGTTTTCACTAAAACAAAAATTTCTGAAAATCCAAAAAAATTACAAAAATCGGAAACGGTAAAAAAAAATTGTAAAACAAAAAATAACAAAAAAAATAAAATTGTAAATATTTATATTTCTGCTTATCATGTTCACTTATAAGATTCTCTCCACTTCTGAAAGAATCAATTCAGTATGGAATTATATTGAGATATCTAGACAAATTGAGATAACATATGACGGGCTCAGAGAAACCCAATCTCTTATTTCGCTTATCACTAACATCGAAGATACTCTTTTTATAGCTATTGCTGACATAGGATTCAGAGTTTCAGATAGCGATATGATCAAAATTGTTATACGAAACGAATCTCTAGCAAAAGATATATGGATTTCATTTCAAAGAGGTTCACAACTAACTAGAAATGTTATAACAAACGCAATTTACAAAGTCTGTCAATCCAATATTGACTTTTTACTCGAAGGTATATTGACTGTAGACATCATTATTATTAAAATGCCTAGTGGAGGAGGGTATAAAAGAAAATATGGAGATACAGATTTATCTAGCTATGAAAGAAGATCGACTAAAACAATTATGATTGAGAAAGATGGGTTATGTTGCTCCAGGTCGTTAGTTGTTGGTAAAGCAATAGCAGATAATATGACTGGAAATGATTGGAGAAGATTGAAAGATGATGCAGGTGGTATTCAATTATTTGCAGCTAAGAAGCTTTGTAGTAAAGCAGAAATAATTCCATATGAGAACTGTGGGATAGAAGAGCTTGAAAAGTTTCAAACTGTACTATCTGATTATCGCATAGTTGTAACTGATGCCAAAACATCCACAACTATTTACAAGGGCCCTGAAAATACTAAATCTATTTATCTTCTTTATAAAGATAATCACTATTATCCTACAAGATCTTTAAAAGCTTTCTTAGGATTTGACTTTTTTTGTGAAAAATGTCTTAAAGGCTATCGAGAAAGAACTAGCCATAAATGTGAAAGTACTTGCGAATTTTGTTTTACAACTCCTTCGTGCATTGGTAATGAGAAGATTGACTGTCAAGACTGCAATCGAATTTTTTGTCAGGATAATTGTTTCAAAAATCACATAGAGAACAAAACTTGTCAAACCTTGAAAAAATGTATTGACTGTAACCGATCATATAAGTCTAAACGTAAACATGTTTGTTATAAATTTTATTGTGTCATCTGCAGAGAAATGGTAGAATCCAAAAACCATTTCTGCTATATGACACGACCGAATCTTGACAAAATTAAAAAAGAAGACGAATCCTACAAAGTAATCATATATTATGATATTGAAAGCACTACATCCTCTTCGGGTATTCATTCTCCAAATTTATTGTGTTCATCACATCTATGTAGTCAATGTGAAGACAGTATTGATTCTGGTTGTTTGATGTGCGAGAAAAAAGATCAAGTGTTTGAAGGTTCTGACTGTGTTGCTGCTTTTTGTAAATGGATTTTCAGAGATTTGAGAAAACGAATTTGTGAAACGACAAAAGAGATTGGAGTTAGTAATCCTAAGATTTTCGTTATAGCTCATAATGGAAAAGCTTATGATTTTCATTTTATTCTTCAATACCTGAATGATAATCAAATCGCAGGCACACCTAAAGTTATAAAATCAGGTTCTAAAATACTAACAATGAATTTTCTTAATGTTAAATTCTTAGACTCTGTATCGTTTTTGCCTATGCCTCTGAAAGCTTTACCAAAAGCTTTTGGTTTGGATGAACAAAAAGGTTGGTTTCCTCATAAATTTAATAAACACGAAAACTCGTCTTATATCGGTTCCTACCCTGATATCAGTTTTTATGACGTTGATAGCTTGTCAATAAAAGAAAGAAACTCTCTTCTTTCATGGTATGATAAAGTAAAATCAGAAAAATTTGATTTTAGACTGGAATTGATAAAATATTGTAAACAGGACGTTTATATCCTCGCAAACTCGTTTCAAAACTTTCGAAGAAGCTTCAAAGAACAAACTTCTTTAGATCCTATCTCTAGATGTATAACAATTGCTCAAGCTTGTATGGAAGTGTTCAAATCGTTTTTCTCAAACCAAAAACTATTGCTATCATTCCATGTCTTGGATATGAGCCGAAAAGAAAAAGTTCGGTGATAGGAAATTTTTGGCTCGACTGGATAGCTGAAGAGAAAAATATATCTATAATTAAAGAAAAGAAATTAAGTAAATACTTTGTAGACGGATATGATCAAGAATCAGAAACTGTTTATGAGTTTTTAGGTTGTTTTTTTCATGGTTGTAAAAAATGCTACCCTAACGACAGAGAGTTCTCAGATGCGAAATGGCTCGATAAATCAATGGAATCACGCCATTACAGTACAATGAAAAAGATAGATGACCTCAAAACTCTTGGTTATTATGTCATAATTAAGTGGGAATGCGAATTTAGACAAAATGAAATGAAAGATAAAGAAACTATGTATCGTTATGAGAAATACTTGCATGACAAAAG